TCCAATCCACTACTGTTACATCTGAGACAGTCACTGCAACTGATGCTGATATCCAATCCACTGATGTTACATCTGAAACAGTCACTGTAACGGATGCTGATATCCAATCCACTGATGTTACATCTGAGACGGTCACTGCAACGGATGCTGATATCCAATCCACTGATGTTACATCTGAGACGGTCACTGCAACGGATGTTGATATCCAATCCACTGATGTTACATCTGAGACAGTCACTGCAACTGATGCTGATATCCAATCCACTGATGTTACATCTGAGACGGTCACTGCAACGGATGTTGATATCCAATCCACTGATGTTACATCTGAGACAGTCACTGCAACTGATGTTGATATCCAATCCACTACTGTTACATCTGTGACAGTCACTGCAACGGATGCTGATATCCAATCCACTACTGTTACATCTGAGACAGTCACTGCAACTGATGCTGATATCCAATCCACTGATGTTACATCTGAGACGGTCACTGCAACGGATGTTGATATCCAATCCACTGATGGTAACTACGGTTTCTTTCCGTCCAGGTCTATGTTGTGTATTTTCATATGAATTAATTGAGCATTATTATGTTCATTCCATGAATATTTTATTGTATTACTATGAATGAATGAACATTCTAAGAACAAAGCCGATTTTTAATAAAATATATTTATATATATCATGTTCGCGTTTTGATGTGTTTTCTTAATGCTACACATTTTGTTTTCCTATAACAATAGCTTTTTTGTTTTATATTCCATAATTCAGGTTGTCTTTTCAAGTATCAACTGCAATTCCCTAATGCATGCTTAACAGTGTGCTATTTTTTCTTTGGCAATTACTTTACTAGAGTATAGTAAGTTTTACACACAATCAAAAACATACTAGTGCCCAAATATTCAGAATTTAAATCTCGGCTTTGAAAGTCAAATCTTAATCTTAACGTTTGACAACAGTATGAACGAAGTAATCCACTCGCCTCTTTCTTCGTATTTAGGATATATTACGTTAATGTTACACTTTCTTAACTAAAATTAAAATTACAAATGAGTGTGAATGTTTTTACTATTTAATATTTCAATGCCAGGAAATTAACAAGTAATTTTATATAATTTGAGGCTTTTGATTCTTCATAAAGGAATGAAGGAAGGTATAATGTCGAATATTGACGTTTATCATAAATAAATGAAGCAGCTTTATTAATTGTGTTTTATATACAAGTATCAACAGGTTCGACATTGTGTGTACTTCATATGTATGCTTTGTTGCTAAATGAAATATTTAAACAATAAGTATGAAGTGTCTTCCTCTGAACTGGACAATTGCGCCAATCCAATACGGGTAAGACATTATATTTATGTAATTTCAATATGTGTTGCAACCATTTGAAGGTTAAAAATCGGTTCAGCCAGATTCCTTTATATCTGTGTATAAAAAATGTTCATGTTAATGATGTGCATTATTTGCAGTGACACTAGGATTGCTTAATACATCAACGAATTCTGCTTCATATTATTGCTTATATGATATTTTCGCTTAACAACGCTTGCTTTCTAACAAACAGCGCTTCCTCCAAACAGATAAATACGCGTGCACATCTCTTCTTTACTATGAACAATAATAATTGAACTTTCTTTGTGAATTGTAGAAGTTACTACAATTCGACCTTCCGAGGTGATAACGAGATTTACTACAACTAAACCAGAAGTGAAATCTGAAGTTTCTACAATTGAACAAGCAATAACAGCAGAAGTTACTAAAACTCACGACGAGAGGACATCTGACGTTTCTGAAGGTACTGCTACTGACCCAGGAGCTACTGAAGAAGTAATCACAACAGAAGGTACTACAACTGCAATAGAGGTGAGAACAGGAGGCATTACAACCAAATCAGGGGTTACAGCAGAAGTCACTACTTCTGAAGTAGACGTGACAGCAGAAATTATTACAGCTGTACCAGAGGTGACAGCAGAAGTTACTTCATCTATACCAGAGGTGACATCAGTAGGACTAACTACTAACGAAAATGTGACATCAGAAGTTTCTACAACTGAATCAGAGGTTACAGGCAAAGGTACTACTACTGAAGAAGAGATGATAGCAGAAGTTGCTACAATGGAACCAAAGGCTACTGTAGAAGCCACCACATTCGAACCAGAGGTTACAGAGGGAGTTACCTTATCTGAACCAGAGGTGACATCAGATGTTTCTACTACCATTGATGAAGAGGTGACATCAGAATTTTCTCCAACTGTACACGAGGTTACAGTCGAAGGTATTAGTACTGAAGAAGAAGTGACAAGAGAGGTTACTCCAACCGAACCAGAGATTACTGAAGCAGTTACTATAACTGACGAAGAAATTACTTCAGAAGCTTCTATAACTGAACCAGAGGTGACAGAGGGAGCTACTTTTTCTGAACAAGAAGTGATATCTGAAGTTTCTATCACTGAGAAAGATGTGTCAGCAGGAGTTACTACAACTGTACCAGAGGTGACAACAGAACTTAGTTCAACTGCAATAGATGTGACGTCAGAGGTTTCGCCGATTGAATCGGACTTGATAACAGAACGTACAACAACTACAACAGATGTGACAACAAAAGGCACTAGAACTAGACCAGAGGTTACATCAGAAAGCACTACAACCAAACCAGAGGATACAACAGAAGTTACTACTATCAAAGAAGATGTGACATCAGAAGTTTCTCCAACTTTACCAGAGGTGACATCAGAAGGTACTTCTATTGTGGAAGATGTGACATCAGAAACTACTATAACCGAACCAGAGGTTACAAAGGGAGTTACTTTATTTGAACCAGAAGTGACATCAGAAGTTTCTATCACTGAGAAAGATGCGTCAGCAGAGGTTACTATAAATGTACCAGAGGTGACATCTGAAGTTTCTACTACTGAGAAAGATGAGTCAGCAGAAGTTACTACAACTGTACCAGAGGTGACATATGAAGTTAGTTCAACTGTACCAGAAGTGACATCAGAAATCTCTCAAGTTGTACAAGAGGTGACGATGGGAGATACTACAACTAAAGAAGAGTTTACTACAGAAGTTACTATTACTGATCCAGAGGTCCCTGAAGAATCTATAACGCTTGAACCCAAAGTAACTACAGCGAAAATCACGACGACACAACCAGAGTTAGTATCACAAGATATGACAACTGAACCATCCGGAGAAGTTATTTCAACTGAGCCATGGGTTTACGATACAACAGCTAAGTCCGAGGAAACGACATCAAAAGTTACGATAATTGAACCAGATGAAACAACAGAAGAAATTTCAAGTGTAACATATGAAAGCCCTGATGTAGGATACACCACGGGACCTCCAACGTTAGGTATTTCGCTAGCTGCCGATTCACTTCAACTCATTGACTTCATACATATGATGTTTTGTAAGATGTTAGAACCAGTTTTGTTTGCAGCATAATTTAATTAACTGTTTTGACAGTTTGTGTTTTAGATGGTTTATTCCTCAATTTGCAATTATACTTGATTCCTCAGTGTGCAGAATGACATTATCAGCCATTAAAATGGCTTTTCATATAATGTTGGTCCTAGTCTATCCTTATAAATTGATACCATTTAATCATATTGTTATTATTTGAATTACACATAGTAGGGTTGTAGCAAATTACCGACTTCGACAACCGAGTCCCGACACCGACTTGGTTACTGTAAATCGATACAGTAATTCTATGTTTTCAAAATTTATTTTGAAGTACTGTCAATTCTGGAACGCGCCACACCATACAGTTTAAATACTACCGTAAACCATCATAGTATTGATAGTAATTTTGAATGTGGTCTTTATTTACATGTACATGTGTAATATTTTGCATTGTTCACAAGTGTAGTAGTCACTGCAACGGATGCTGATATCCAACTAGTACTAGTACCTAGAAAATCGGCGATACATAAAACCGCACTTCCGTGAAAACCTGAGCATTAGGAGCGAATGAAGCGTACTCTCATCTAAGCGCTACGGGTTTTAAACGCCATGACAACACGTTTGGAATATGATTTTTATGCTCAAAAATAAATTTTGAAAATATAAAATCTTAGTATCGATTTACAATAACCGAGTCGGTGTCGGGACTGTTGTCGGAGTAGGTACAACTCTAGTAAATGTTGACGAAAGATGCAAAGAAACATATATTTGCTTTTTATGCCATACAACGTACAGATTTGTGACATAATAGACAGATTACAAAACTCACTTAAAGCATGTTTATTTTACGATTGGTTTTATGTAGATCAATTTGTTTGACTGGTCAGTGTTTTATGTTTACCTATTTGACATTCCCTTTGTGTATGTTATATGTGTTTAGACGCTCGGTACTCTTTAAGTGTGCTTTATTTGTGTGGATGCTTAGAAAATCGTATTTTGAATATGCTTATTCAGGGATTCTTGAAAAGAAAAGTGCTCAACAATTTACTTTTCGTTTGGGTCAAATTTCTAACAAGTCGGATCTCTAACAGATTCGCCTGCGATCCTCATTAGAGTGACATGATCAGGAACACGTAAATAAATCATTCCGTATGTGGTTTATCTTTCAATTTTGCACAAAATGCACTAATGTACTAAAAAGAATGATGTGCTATATAATATAATATAATATAATATAATATAATATAATATAATATAATATAATATGATATGATATGAGATAATATTATATAATATAATATAATATAATATAATATAATATATTAAAAGAATATTCACTACACTCATTTTTGGTACCATAGAGCACTCTTTGAGCAAAACTGAGAGATAAAGACTGGAGATGGAATTGGAAATGAGTTCCTAAAAAAATATGCGACTCCAATGAGGATTGAATGATAATTAATAAATTCAGTGACAATCATAGTAATTGACAAATTGTCAGTGAAAATGTATTCATGATTCATATTTTGGTTCTTTTTTCTGTAGATGTCACAGCAACACCTCAAAAGGATATCACTGCTACTATAGATGAAACAGAAGCGGTATCTTCTACTAAAGCCACAACCGAGTCTGATATAACAGCTACTAGTGCCACAACAGAGCCGGTATCACCAACTGATACTGAAGCTACTATAGAGTCTGATATAACAGCTACTAGTGGCACAACTGAAGCGGTATTTCCAACTGAAACTGAAGCAATAACAGAGTATGATATAACTGCTTCTATTGTCACAACAGAGGCGGTATCACCAACTGATACTGAGGCAACAACAGAGTCTGATATAACTGCTACTAGTGTCACAACAGAGCCGGTATCACTAACTGAAACTGAAGCAATAACAGAGTCTGATATAACTGATTCTATTGTCACAACAGAGGCGATATCTCCAACTGATACTGACGCAACAACAGAGTCTGATATAACTGCTACTAGTGTCACAACAGAGGCGGTATCTCCAACTGATACTGAAGCAACAACAGAGTCTGATATAACTGCTTCTTTTGTCACAACAGAGGCGGTATCACCAACTGATACTGAAGCAACAACAGAATCTGACATAATTGTTACTAGTGTCACAACAGAGGCGGTATCTCCAACTGATACTGAAGCAACAACAGAGTCTGATATAACTGCTTCTTTTGTCACAACAGAGGCGGTATCACCAACTGATACTGAAGCAACAACAGAATCTGACATAATTGTTACTAGTGTCACAACAGAGGCGGTATCTCCAACTGATACTGAAGCAACAACAGAGTCTGATATAACTGCTTCTATTGTCACAACAGAGGCGGTATCTCCAACTGATACTGAAGCAACAACAGAGTCTGATATAACTGCTACTAGTGTCACAACAGAGGCAGTATTACCAACTGATACTGAAGCAACAACAGAATCTGATATAATTGCTACTCATGTCACAACAGAGGCGGTATCACCAACTGATACTGAAGCAACAACAGAATCTGATATAACTGCTACTAGTGCCACAACAGAGGCAATATCTGCAACTGATACTGAAGCAACAACAGAGTCTGATATAACTGCTACTAGTGTCACAACAAAGGCAATATCACCAACTTATACTGAAGCAACAACAGAGTCTGATATAACTGCTTCTATTGTCACAACAGAGGCGGTATCACCAACTGATACTGAAGCTACTACAGAGTCTGATACAACAGCTACTAGTGTCACAACAGAGCCGGTATCACTAACTGAAACTGAAGCAATAACAGAGTCTGATATAACTGCTTCTATTGTCACAACAGAGGCGGTATCTCCAACTGATACTGAAGCAACAACAGAGTCTGATATAACTGCTACTAGTGTCACAACAGAGGCGGTATCTCCAACTGATACTGAAGCAACAACAGAGTCTGATATAACTGCTTCTTTTGTCACAACAGAGGCGGTATCACCAACTGATACTGAAGCAACAACAGAATCTGACATAATTGTTACTAGTGTCACAACAGAGGCGGTATCTCCAACTGATACTGAAGCAACAACAGAGTCTGATATAACTGCTTCTTTTGTCACAACAGAGGCGGTATCACCAACTGATACTGAAGCAACAACAGAATCTGACATAATTGTTACTAGTGTCACAACAGAGGCGGTATCTCCAACTGATACTGAAGCAACAACAGAGTCTGATATAACTGCTTCTATTGTCACAACAGAGGCGGTATCTCTAACTGATACTGAAGCAACAACAGAGTCTGATATAACTGCTACTAGTGTCACAACAGAGGCAGTATTACCAACTGATACTGAAGCAACAACAGAATCTGATATAATTGCTACTCATGTCACAACAGAGGCGGTATCACCAACTGATACTGAAGCAACAACAGAATCTGATATAACTGCTACTAGTGTCACAACAGAGGCAATATCTGCAACTGATACTGAAGCAACAACAGAGTCTGATATAACTGCTACTAGTGTCACAACAGAGGCAATATCACCAACTGATACTGAAGCAACAACAGAGTCTGATATAACTGCTTCTATTGTCACAACAGAGGCGGTATCACCAACTGATACTAAAGCTACTACAGAGTCTGATACAACAGCTACTAGTGTCACAACAGAGCCGGTATCACTAACTGAAACTGAAGCAATAACAGAATCTGATATAACTGCTTCTATTGTCACAACAGAGGCGGTATCTCCAACTGATACTGAAGCAACAACAGAATCTGATATAATTGCTACTCATGTCACAACAGAGGCGGTATCACCAACTGATACTGAAGCAACAACAGAATCTGATATAACTGCTACTAGTGTCACAAAAGAGGCAATATCTCCAACTGATACTGAAGCAACAACAGAGTCTGATATAACTGCTACTAGTGTCACAACAGAGGCAATATCACCAACTGATACTGAAGCAACAACAGAGTCTGATATAACTGCTTCTATTGTCACAACAGAGGCGGTATCACCAACTGGTACTGAAGCTACTACAGAGTCTGATACAACAGCTACTATTGTCACAACAGAGGCGGTATCACCAACTGATACTGAAGCAACAACAGAATCTGACATAATTGTTACTAGTGTCACAACAGAGACGGTATCTCCAACTGATACTGAAGCAACAACAGAGTCTGATATAACTGCTTCTTTTGTCACAACAGAGGCGGTATCACCAACTGATACTGAAGCAACAACAGAATCTGACATAATTGTTACTAGTGTCACAACAGAGGCGGTATCTCCAACTGATACTGAAGCAACAACAGAGTCTGATATAACTGCTTCTATTGTCACAACAGAGGCGGTATCTCCAACTGATACTGAAGCAACAACAGAGTCTGATATAACTGCTACTAGTGTCACAACAGAGGTAATATCTCCAATTGATACTGAAGCAACAACAGAGTCTGATATAACTGCTACTAGTGTCACAACAGAGGCAATATCACCAACTGATACTGAAGCAACAACAGAGTCTGATATAACTGCTTCTATTGTCACAACAGAGGCAGTATCACCAACTGATACTGAAGCTACTACAGAGTCTGATACATTACCAACTGAAACTGAAGCAACAACAGAATCTGATATAATTGCTACTCATGTCACAACAGAGGCGGTATCACCAACTGATACTGAAGCAACAACAGAATCTGATATAACTGCTACTAGTGTCACAACAGAGGCAATATCTCCAATTGATACTGAAGCAACAACAGAGTCTGATATAACTGCTACTAGTGTCACAACAGAGGCAATATCACCAACTGATACTGAAGCAACAACAGAGTCTGATATTACTGCTTCTATTGTCACAACAGAGGCGGTATCACCAACTGATACTGAAGCTACTACAGAGTCTGATACAACAGCTACTAGTGTCACAACAGAGCCGGTATCACTAACTGAAACTGAAGCAATAACAGAGTCTAATATAACTGCTTCTATTGTCACAACAGAGGCGGTATCTCCAACTGATACTGAAGCAACAACAGAATCTGATATAATTGCTACTCATGTCACAACAGAGGCGGTATCACCAACTGATACTGAAGCAACAACAGAATCTGATATAACTGCTACTAGTGTCACAAAAGAGGCAATATCTCCAACTGATACTGAAGCAACAACAGAGTCTAATATAACTGCTACTAGTGTCACAACAGAGGCAATATCACCAACTGATACTGAAGCAACAACAGAGTCTGATATAACTGCTTCTATTGTCACAACAGAGGCGGTATCACCAACTGATACTGAAGCTACTACAGAGTCTGATACAACAGCTACTAGTGTCACAACAGAGCCGGTATCACTAACTGAAACAGAAGCAATAACAGAGTCTGATATAACTGCTTCTATTGTCACAACAGAGCCGGTATCACTAACTGATACTGAAGCAACAACAGAAACTGATATAACTGCTTCTATTGTCACAAAAGAGGCAATATCTCCAACTGATACTGAAGCAACAACAGAGTCTGATATAACTGCTACTAGTGTCACCACAGAGGCAATATCACCAACTGATACTGAAGCAACAACAGAGTCTGATATAACTGCTTCTATTGTCACAACAGAGGCGGTATCACCAACTGATACTGAAGCAACAACAGAGTCTGATATAACAGCTACTAGTGTCACAACAGAGGCGGTATCACCAACTGATACTGAAGCTACTACAAAGTCTGATATAACAGCTACTAGTGTCACAACAGAGCCGGTATCACCAACTGATACTGAAGCAACAACAGAGTCTGATATAACTGCTTCTATTGTCACAACAGAGGCGGTATCACCAACTGGTACTGAAGCTACTACAGAGTCTGATACAACAGCTACTAGTGTCACAACAGAGCCGGTATCACCGACTGATACTGAAGCAACAACAGAGTCTGATATAACTGCTTCTATTGTCACAACAGAGGCGGTATCACCAACTGGTACTGAAGCTACTACAGAGTCTGATACAACAGCTACTATTGTCACAACAGAGGCGGTATCTCCAACTGATACTGAAGCAACAACAGAATCTGATATAATTGCTACTCATGTCACAACAGAGGCGGTATCACCAACTGATACTGAAGCAACAACAGAATCTGATATAACTGCTACTAGTGTCACAAAAGAGGCAATATCTCCAACTGATACTGAAGCAACAACAGAGTCTGATATAACTGCTACTAGTGTCACAACAGAGGCAATATCACCAACTGATACTGAAGCAACAACAGAGTCTGATATAACTGCTACTAGTGTCACAACAGAGCCGGTATCACTAACTGAAACTGAAGCAATAACAGAGTCTGATATAACTGCTTCTATTGTCACAACAGAGCCGGTATCACTAACTGATACTGAAGCAACAACAAAAACTGATATAACTGCTTCTATTGTCACAAAAGAGGCAATATCTCCAACTGATACTGAAGCAACAACAGAGTCTGATATAACTGCTTCTATTGTCACAACAGAGGCGGTATCACCAACTGATACTGAAGCTACTACAGAGTCTGATACAACAGCTACTAGTGTCACAACAGAGCCGGTATCACTAACTGAAACTGAAGCAATAACAGAGTCTGATACAACAGCTTCTATTGTCACAACAGAAGCGGTATCTCCAACTGATACTGAAGCAACAACAGAATCTGATATAATTGCTACTCATGTCACAACAGAGGCGGTATCACCAACTGATACTGAAGCAACAACAGAGTCTGATATAACTGCTACTAGTGTCACCACAGAGGCAATATCACCAACTGATACTGAAGCAACAACAGAGTCTGATATAACTGCTTCTATTGTCACAACAGAGGCGGTATCACCAACTGATACTGAAGCAACAACAGAGTCTGATATAACAGCTACTAGTGTCACAACAGAGGCGGTATCACCAACTGATACTGAAGCTACTACAAAGTCTGATATAACAGCTACTAGTGTCACAACAGAGCCGGTATCACCAACTGATACTGAAGCAACAACAGAGTCTGATATAACTGCTTCTATTGTCACAACAGAGGCGGTATCACCAACTGGTACTGAAGCTACTACAGAGTCTGATACAACAGCTACTAGTGTCACAACAGAGCCGGTATCACCGACTGATACTGAAGCAACAACAGAGTCTGATATAACTGCTTCTATTGTCACAACAGAGGCGGTATCACCAACTGGTACTGAAGCTACTACAGAGTCTGATACAACAGCTACTATTGTCACAACAGAGGCGGTATCTCCAACTGATACTGAAGCAACAACAGAATCTGATATAATTGCTACTCATGTCACAACAGAGGCGGTATCACCAACTGATACTGAAGCAACAACAGAATCTGATATAACTGCTACTAGTGTCACAAAAGAGGCAATATCTCCAACTGATACTGAAGCAACAACAGAGTCTGATATAACTGCTACTAGTGTCACAACAGAGGCAATATCACCAACTGATACTGAAGCAACAACAGAGTCTGATATAACTGCTTCTATTGTCACAACAGAGGCGGTATCACCAACTGATACTGAAGCTACTACAGAGTCTGATACAACAGCTACTAGTGTCACAACAGAGCCGGTATCACTAACTGAAACTGAAGCAATAACAGAGTCTGATATAACTGCTTCTATTGTCACAACAGAGCCGGTATCACTAACTGATACTGAAGCAACAACAGAAACTGATATAACTGCTTCTATTGTCACAAAAGAGGCAATATCTCCAACTGATACTGAAGCAACAACAGAGTCTGATATAACTGCTACTAGTGTCACAACAGAGGCAATATCACCAACTGATACTGAAGCAACAACAGAGTCTGATATAACTGCTTCTATTGTCACAACAGAAGCGGTATCACCAACTGATACTGAAGCAACAACAGAGTCTGATATAACAGCTACTAGTGTCACAACAGAGGCGGTATCACCAACTGATACTGAAGCTACTACAAAGTCTGATATAACAGCTACTAGTGTCACAACAGAGCCGGTATCACCAACTGATACTGAAGCAACAACAGAGTCTGATATAACTGCTTCTATTGTCACAACAGAGGCGGTATCACCAACTGGTACTGAAGCTACTACAGAGTCTGATACAACAGCTACTAGTGTCACAACAGAGCCGGTATCTCCAACTGATGCTGAAGCAACAAAAGACTCTGATATAGCAGCTACTAGTGTCACAACAGAGCCGGTATCTTCAACTGATGCTGAAGCAACAACAGAGTCTGATATAACAGCTACTAGTTTCACAACTGAAACGATATCTCCAACTGATGCTGAAGCAACAACAGAGTCTGATATAACAGTTACTAGTGTCACAACTGAAACGATGTCTCCAACTGATACTGAAGCAATAACAGAGTCCGATATAACTGCTACTAGTGTCACAACAGAGGCGGTATCCCCAACTGATACTGAAGCAACAACAGAGTCTGATATAACTGCTTCTATTGTCACAACTGAAGCGGTATCTCCAACTGATACTGAAACAAAAACAGAGTCTGATGTAACAGCTACTAGTGTCACAACAGACACGGTATCTCCAACTGATACTGAAGCTACAACAGAGTCTGATATAACTGCTTCTATTGTCACAACAGACGCGGTATCATCAACTGATACTGAAGCTACAACAGAGCCTGATATAACTGTTACTATTGTCACAACAGAGCCGGTATCTCCGACTGATACTGACGCTACAACAGAGTCTGATATAACTGCTACTAGTGTCACAACAGAGCCGGAATCTCCGACTGATACTGAAGCTACAACAGAGTCTGATATAACTGCTACTAGTGTCACAACAGAGCCGGTATCTCCGACTGATACTGAAGCTACAACAGAGTCTGGTATAACTTATACTAGTGTCACAACTGAAACGATATCACCAACTGATACTGAAGCAATAACAGAGTCTGATATAACAGCTTCTAGTGTCACAACAGAGGCGGTATCACCAACTGATACTGAAGCAGCAACAAAGTCTGATATAACAGCTACGAGAGTCGCAACTGAATCGATATCTCCAACTGATACTGAAGCAATAACAGAGTCTGATATAACTGCTTCTATTGTCACAACAGAGGCAGTAACACCAACTGATACTGAAGCGACAACAGAGTCTGATGTAACAGCTACTAGTGTCACAACAGAGCCGGTATCTCCAACTGATACTGAAGCTACAACAGAGTCTGATATAACTGCTTCTATTGTCACAACAGACGCGGTATCATCAACTGATACCGAAGCTACAACAGAGTCTGATATAACTGCTACTAGTGTCACAACAGAGCCGGTATCTCCGACTGATACTGAAGCTACAACAGAGTCTGATATAACTGCTTCTATTGTCACAACAGACGCCGTATCATCAACTGATACCGAAGCTACAACAGAGCCTGATATAACTGCTTCTATTGTCAAAACTGAAGCGGTATCTCCAACTGATACTGAAGCTACAACAGAGTCTGATGTAACAGCTACTAGTGTCACAACAGAGCCGGTATCTCCGACTGATACTGAAGCTACAACAGAGTCTGATGTAACAGATACTAGTGTCACAACAGAACCGGTATCTCCAACTGATACTGAAGCTACAACAGAGTCTGATATAACTGCTACTATTGTCACAACAGAGGCGGTATCTCCGACTGATACTGAAGCTACAACAGAGTCTGATATAACTGCTACTATTGTCACAACAGACGCCGTATCATCAACTGATACCGAAGCTACAACAGAGTCTGATATAACTGCTTCTATTGTCACAACAGACGTCGTATCATCAACTGATACTGAAGCTACAACAGAGCCTGATATAACTGCTACTAGTTTCACAACACATCCTTTATCTCCAACTGATACTGAATCAACAACAGAGTCTGATGTAACAGCTACTAGTGCCACAACAGAGCCTGTATCTCCAACTGATACTGAAGCTACAACAGAGTCTGATATAACTGCTTCTATTGGCACAACAGACGCGGTATCATCAACTGATACTGAAGCTACAACAGAGTCTGATGTTACAGCTACTAGTGTCACAACAGAGCCGGTATCTCCAACTGGTACTGAAGCTACAACAGAGTCTGATATAACTGCTTCTATTGTCACAACAGACTCGGTATCACCAACTGATACTGAAGCAACAACAGAGTCTTACATAACTGCTACTAGTGTCACAACAGAGCAGGTATCTCCGACTGAAACTGAAGCTACAACAGAGTCTAAAATAACTGCTTCTATTGTCACAACAGACTCGGTATCACCAACTGATACTGAAGCAACAACAGAGTCTGATGTAACAGCTACTAGTGCCACAACAGAGCCGGTATCTCCAACTGATACTGAAGCTACAACAGAGTCTGATATAACTGCTTCTATTGTCACAATAGACTCGGTATCACCAACTGATACTGAAGCAACAACAGAGTCTGATGTAACAGCTACTAGTGCCACAACAGAGCCGGTATCTCCAACTGATACTGAAGCTACAACAGAGTCTGATATAACTGCTTCTATTATCACAACAGAGGCAGAATCTCCGACTGATACTGAACCAACAACAGAGTCTGATATAACTGCTACTAGTGTCACAACAGAGCCGGTATCTCCAACTGATACTGAAGCTACAACAGAGTCTGATGTAACAGCTACTAGTGCCACAACAGAGTCGGTATCTCCAACTGATACTGAAGCTACAACAGAGTCTGATATAACTACTTCTATTGTCACAACTGAAGCAGTATCTCCAACTGATACTGAAGCTACAACAGAGTCTGATGTAACAGCTACTAGTGCCACAACAGAGTCGGTATCTCCAACTGATACTGAAGCTACAACAGAGTCTGATATAACTACTTCTATTGTCACAACTGAAGCAGTATCTCCAACTGATACTGAAGCTACAACAGAGTCTGATGTAACAGCTACTAGTGCCACAACAGAGTCGGTATCTCCAACTGATACTGAAGCTACAACAGAGTCTGATATAACTACTTCTATTGTCACAACTGAAGCAGTATCTCCAACTGATACTGAAGCTACAACAGAGTCTGATATAACTGCTTCTATTGTCACAACAGACGCGGTATCATCAACTGATACTGAAGCTACAACAGAGTCTGATATAACTGCTACTAGTGTCACAACAGAGCCGGTATCTCCGACTGATACTGAAGCTACACCAGAGTCTGATATAACTGCTACTAGTGTCACAACAGAGCCGGTATCTTCGACTGATACTGAAGCTACAACAGCGTCTGATATAACTTCTACTAGTGTCACAACTGAAACGATATCACAAACTGATACTGAAGCAACAACAGAGTCTGATATAACTGCTACTAGTTTCACAACAGAGCCGGTATCTCCGACTGATACTGAAGCTACAACAGAGTCTGATGTAACTGCTTCTATTGTCACAACAGACGCGGTATCATCAACTGATACTGAAGCTACAACAGAGTCTGATAAAACTGCTACTAGTGTCACAACAGAGCCGGTATCTCCGACTGATACTGAAGCTACAACAGAGTCTGATATAACTGCTTCTATTATCACAACAGAGGCAGTATCTCCGACTGATACTGAACCAACAACAGAGTCTGACATAACTGCTACTAGTGTCACAACAGAGCCGGTATCTCCGACTGATACTGAAGCTACAACAGAGTCTGATATAACAACTTCTATTGTCACAACAGACTCGGTATCACCAACTGATACTGAAGCAACAACAGAGTCTGATATAACTACTTCAATTGTCACAACTGAAGCGGTATCTCCAACTGATACTGAAGCTACAACAGAGTCTGATGTAACAGCTACTATTGTCACAACTGAAGCAGTATCTCGAACTGATACTGAAGCTACAGCAGAGTCTGATGTAACAGCTACTAGTGCCACAACAGAGCCGGTATCTCCAACTGATACTGAAGCTACAACAGAGTCTGATATAACTGCTTCTATTGTCACAACAGACGCGGTATCATCAACTGATACTGAAGCTACAACAGAGTCTGATATAACTGCTACTAGTGTTACAACAGAGCCGGTATCTCCGACTGATACTGAAGCTACAACAGAGTCTGATATAACTTCAACTACTGTCACAACTGAAACGATATCACCAACTGATACTGAAGCAACAACAGAGTCTGATATAACAGCTACTAGTGTCACAACTGAAACGATATCTCCAACTGATACTAAAGCAATAACAGAGTCTGATATAACTGCTTCTATTGTAACAACAGAGTTGGTATCACCATCTGATACTGAAGCTACAACAGAGTCTGATATAACTGCTTCTAATGTCACAACAGAGGTGGCATCACCAACTGATACTGAAGCAACAACAGAGTCTGATATAACTGCTTCTAGTTTCACAACAGAGCCGGTATCTCAAACTGATACTGAAGCTATAACAGAGTCTGATATAACAGCTACTAGTGTCATAACTGAAACGATATCTCCAACTGATACTGAAGCAATAACAGAGTCTGAAATAACTTCTACTAGTGTCACAACAGAGGCAGTACTACCAACTGATGCTGAAGCTACAACAGAGTCTGATATAACTGCGACTAGTGTCACAACTGAAACAATATCACCAACTGATACTGAAGCAACAACAGAGTCTGATGTAACAGCTACTAGTGCCACAACAGAGCCGGTATCTCCAACTGATACTGAAGCTACAACAGAGTCTGATATAACTGCTTCTATTGTCACAACAGACGCAGTATCATCAACTGATACCGAAGCTACAACAGAGCCTGATATAACTGCTACTAGTTTCACAACACATCCGGTATCTCCAACTGATACTGAAGCAACAACAGAGTCTGATGTAACAGCTACTAGTGCCACAACAGAGCCGGTATCTCCAACTGATACTGAAGCTACAACAGAGTCTGATATAACTGCTTCGATTGTCACAACTGAAGCGGTATCATCAACTGATACTGAAGCTACAACAGAGTCTGATATAACAGCTACTAGTGACACAACAGAGCCGGTATCTCCAACTGATACTGAAGCCACAACAGAGTCTGATATAACTGCTACTAGTGTCACAACAGAGCCGGTATCTTCGACTGATACTGAAGCTACAACAGAGTCTGATATAACTTCTACTAGTGTCACAACTGAAACGATATCACCAACTGATACTGAAGCAACAACAGAGTCCGATATAACAGCTACTAGTGTCCCAACTGAAACGATATCTCCAACTGATACTGAAGCAATAACAGAGTCTGATATTACTGCTTCTATTGTCACAACAGAGGAGGTATCACCAACTGATACTGAAGCAATAACAGAGTCCGATATTACTGCTACTAGTGTCACAACAGAGCCGGTATCTCCAACTGATACTGAAGCTACAACAGAGTCTGATATAACAGCTACTAGAAGTGTCACAACTGAAACGATATTTCCAACTGATACTGAAGCCGTAACAGAGTCTGAAATAACTTCTACTAGTGTCACAACAGAGGCAGTACTACCAACTGATGCTGAAGCTACAACAGAGTCTGATATAACTGCTACTAGTGTTACAACTGAAACAATATCTCCGACTGATACTGAAGCTACAACAGAGTCTGATTTAACTGCTTCTATTGTCACAAAAGACGCCGTATCATCAACTGATACTGAAGCTACAACAGAGCCTGATATAACTGCTTCTATTGTCACAACTGAAGCGGTATCTCCAACTGATACTGAAGCTACAACAGAGTCTGATGTAACAGCTACTAGTGACACAACAGAGCCGGTATCTCCAACTGATACTGAAGCCACAACAGAGTCTGATATAACTGCTACTAGTGTCACAACAGAGCCGGTATCTCCGACTGATACTGAAGCCACAACAGAGTCTGATATAATTGCTAGTAGTGTCACAACGGAGCCGGTATCTCCGACTGATACTGAAGCTACAACAGAGTCTGATATAACAGCTACTAGTGTCACAACAGAGCCGGTAACTCCAACTGATACTGAAGCAACAACAGAGTCTGATATAACTGCTACTAGTTTCACAACAGGGCTGGTATATCAAACTGATACTGAAGCTACAACAGAGTCTGATATAACATCTACTAGTGTCACAACAGAGCCGGTAACTCCAACTGATACTCAAGCTACAACTGAGTCTGATATAACTGCTACTAGTGCCACAACTGATACGATATCTCCAAGTGATACTGAAGCTACAACAGAGTCTGATGTAACAGCTACTAGATTCACAACAGACTCGGTATCACCAACTGATACTGAAGCAGCAACAGAGTCTAATATAACTGTTTATATTGTCACAACTGAAGCGGTATCTCCAACTGATACTGAAGCTACAACAGAGTCTGATGTAACAGCTACTAGTGTCACAACAGAGCCGGTATCTCCGACTGATACTGAAGCTACAACAGAGTCTGGTATAACTGCTTCTATTGTCACAAAAGACGCCGTATCATCAACTGATACTGAAGCTACAACAGAGCCTGATATAACTGCTTCTATTGTCACAACTGAAGCGGTATCTCCAACTGATACTGAAGCTACAACAGAGTCTGATGTAACAGCTACTAGTGACACAACAGAGCCGGTATCTCCGACTGATACTGAAGCTACAACAGAGTCTGATATAACTTCTACTAGTTTCACAACAGAGCCGGTATCTCCGACTGATACTGAAGCCACAACAGAGTCTGATATAATTGCTAGTAGTGTCACAACAGAGCCGGTATCTCCGACTGATACTGAAGCTACAACAGAGTCTGATATAACTTCTACTAGTGTCACAACTGAAACGATATCACCAACTGATACTGAAGCAACAACAGAGTCCGATATAACTGCTTCTATTGTCACAATAGAGGCGGTATCACCAACTGATACTGAAGCAACAACAGAGTCTGATATAACTTCTACTAGTGTCACAACAGAGGCAGTATTACCAACTGATACTGAAGCTACAACAGAGTCTAATGTAACAGCTACTAGTTTCACAACAGAGCCGGTATTTCCGACTGATACTGAAGCTACAACAGAGTCTGATATAACTGCTACTAGTGTCACAACAGAGGCAGTATCATCAACTGATACTGAGGCAACAACAGAGTCTGATGTAACAGCTACTAGTTTCACAACACAGCCGGTATCTCCGACTGATATTGAAGCTACAACAGAGTCTAATATAACTTCTACTAGTGTCACAACTGAAACGATATCACCAACTGATACTGAGGCAACAACAGAGTCTGATATAACAGCTACTAGTGTCACAACTGAAACAATATCTCCTACTGATACTGAAGCTATAACAGAGTCTGATATAACTGCTTCTATTATCACAACAGAGGCAGTATCTCCGACTGATACTGAACCAACAACAGAGTCTGATGTAACTGCTACTAGTGTCACAACAGAGCCGGTATCTCCGACTGATACTGAAGCTACAACAGAGTCTGATATAACTGCTTCTATTGTCACAACAGACGCGGTATCATCAACTGATACTGAAGCTACAACAGAGTCTGATATAACTGCTACTAGTGTCACAACAGAGCCGGTATCTCCGACTGATACTGAAGCTACAACAGAGTCTGATATAACTGCTACTAGTGTCACAACAGAGCCGGTATCTCCGACTGATACTGAAGCTACAACAGAGTCTGATATAACTTCTACTAGTGTCACAACTGAAACGATATCACCAACTGATACTGAAGCAACAACAGAGTCTGATATAACAGCTACTAGTGTCACAACTGAAACGATATCTCCAACTGATACTGAAGCAATAACAGAGTCTGATATAACTGCTTCTATTGTCACAACAGAGGAGGTATCACCAACTGATACTGAAGCAATAACAGAGTCCGATATTACTGCTACTAGTGTCACAACAGAGCCGGTATCTCAAACTGATACTGAAGCTACAACAGAGTCTGATATAACAGCTACTAGTGTCACAACTGAAACGGTATCACCAACTGATACTGAAGCAATTACAGAGTCTGATACAACTGCTTCTATTGTCACAACAGAGCCGGTATCTCCGACTGATACTGAAGCTACAATAGAGTCTGATATAACTTCTACTAGTGTCACAACAGAGGCAGTATTACTAACTGATACTGAAGGTACAACAGAGTCTGATATAACATATACTAGTGTCACAACAGATGCATTATTTCCAACTGATACTGAAGCTACAACAGAGTCTGATATAACAGCTACTAGTGTCACAACAGAGCCGGTAACTCCAACTGATACTCAAGCTACAACTGAGTCTGATATAACTGCTACTAGCGTCACAACAGAGGCGGTATCACCACCTGATACTGAAGCAACAACAGAGTCTGATATAACTGCTACTAGTTTCACAACAGAGCTGGTATCTCAAACTGATACTGAAGCTACAACAGAGTCTGATATAATTCCTACTAGTGTCACAACAGAGCCGGTAACTCCAACTGATACTCAAGCTACAACTGAGTCTGATATAACTGCTACTAGCGTCACAACAGAGGCGGTATCACCAACTGATACTGAAGCAACAACAAAGTCTGATATAACAGCTACTAGTGCCACAACTGATACGATATCTCCAAGTGATACTGAAGCTACAACAGAGTCTGATGTAACAGCTACTAGTTTCACAACAGACTCGGTATCACCAACTGATACTGAAGCAGCAACAGAGTCTGATATAACTGCTTCTATTGTCACAACTGAAGCGGTATCTCCAACTGATACTGAAGCTACAGCAGAGTCTGATGTAACAGCTACTAGTGTCACAACAGAGCCGGTATCTCCGACTGATACTGAAGCTACAACAGAGTCTGATATAACTGCTTCTATTGTCACAACAGACGCCGTATCCTCAACTGATACTGAAGCTACAACAGAGTCTGATATAACTACTTCTATTGTCACAACTGAAGCGGTATCTCCAACTGATACTGAAGCTACAACAGAGTCTGATGTAACAGCTACTATTGTCACAACAGAGCCGGTATCTCCGACTGATACTGAAGCTACAACAGAGTCTGATATAACTGCTTCTATTGTCACAACTGAAGCAGTATCTCCAACTGATACTGAAGCTACAACAGAGTCTGATGTAACAGCTTCTATTGTCACAACAGACGCCGTATCATCAACTGATACCGAAGCTACAACAGAGCCTGATATAACTGCTACTAGTTTCACAACACATCCGGTATCTCCAACTGATACTGAAGCAACAACAGAGTCTGATATAACTGCTTCTATTGTCACAACAGACGCCGTATCCTCAACTGATACTGAAGCTACAACAGAGTCTGATATAACTACTTCTATTGTCACAACTGAAGCGGTATCTCCGACTGATACTGAAGCTACAACAGAGTCTGATGTAACAGCTACTATTGTCACAACAGAGCCGGTATCTCCGACTGATACTGAAGCTACAACAGAGTCTGATATAACTTCTACTAGTGTCACAACACATCCGGTATCTCCAACTGATACTGAAGCAACAACAGAGTCTGATATAACTGCTTCTATTGTCACAACTGAAGCAGTATCTCCAACTGATACTGAAGCTACAACAGAGTCTGATGTAACAGCTACTAGTGTCACAACAGACGCCGTATCATCAACTGATACTAAAGCTATAACAGAGCCTGATATAACTGCTACTAGTGTCACAACAGAGCCGGTATCTCCGACTGATACTGAAGCTACAACAGAGTCTGATATAATTGCTAGTAGTGTCACAACAGAGCCGGTATCTCCGACTGATACTGAAGCAACAACAGAGTCTGATATAACTGCTACTAGTTTCACGACAGGGCTGGTATCTCAAACTGATACTGAAGCTACAACAGAGTCTGATATAACATCTACTAGTGTCACAACAGAGCCGGTAACTCCAACTGATACTCAAGCAACAACTGAGTCTGATATAACTGCTACAAGCGTCACAACAGAGGCGGTATCACCAAGTGATACTGAAGCAACAACAGAATCTGATATAACAGCTACTAGTGCCACAACTGATACGATATCTCCAAGTGATACTGAAGCTACAACAGAGTCTGATGTAACAGCTACTAGTTTCACAACAGAGCCGGTATCTCCGACTGATACTAAAGCTACAACAGAGTCTGATATAACTGCTACTAGTGTCACAACAGAGCCGGAATCTCCGACTGATACTGAAGCAACAACAGAGTCTGATATAACAGCTACTAGTGTCGCAACAGAGCCGGTAACTCCAACTGACACTCAACCTACAACAGAGTCTGATATAACTGCTACTAGTGTCACAACAGAGCCGGAATCTCCGACTGATACTGAAGCAACAACAGAGTCTGATATAACAGCTACTAGTGTCGCAACAGAGCCGGTAACTCCAACTGATACTGAAGCAACAACAGAGTCTGATATAACAGCTACTAGTGTCACAACTGAAACAATATCTCCAACTGATACTGAAGCTATAACAGAGTCTGATATATCTGCTTCTGTTATCACAACAGAGGCAGTATCTCCGACTGATACTGAAGCAATAACAGAGTCTGATATAACTGCTACTAGTGTCACAACAGAGGCAGTATCTCCAACTGATACTGAAGCTACAACAGAGTCTGATATAACAGCTACTAGCGTCACAACAGAGCCTTTATCTCAAACTGATACTGAAGCTACAAAAGAGTCTGATATAACTGCTTCTAGTGTCACAACAGAGCTGGTATCACCAACTGATACTGAAGCAACAACAGAGTTTAATATAACAGTTACTAGCGTCACAACAGAGGCGGTATCACCAACTGATACTGAAGCAACAACAGAGTCTGATATAACAGTTACTAGTGTCACAACAGAGGCGGTATCACCAACTGATACTGAAGCTACAACAGAGTCTGATATAACTGCTTCTATTGTCACAACAGAGCCGGTATCTCCGACTGATACTGAAGCAACAACAGAGTCTTATATAACTGCTACTAGTGTCACAACAGAGCCGATATATCCGACTGATACTGAAGCTACAACAGAGTCTGATATAACTTCTACTAGTGTCACAACAGTCGCCGTATCATCAACTGATACTGAAGCTACAACAGAGCCTGATTTAACTGCTACTAGTGTCACAACAGAGCCGGTATCTCGGACAGATACTGAAGCTACAACAGAGTCTGATATAACTGCTACTAGTGTCACAACTGAAACGATATCACCAACTGATACTGAAGCAACAACAGAGTCTGATATAACGGCTACTCGTGTCACAACTGAACTGATATCTCCAACTGATACTGAAGCAATAACAGGGGCTGATATAACTGCTTCTGAAGTCACAACAGAGGCGGTATCACCAACTGATACTGAAGCTACAACAGAGTCTGATATAACTTCTACTAATGTCACAACTGAAACGATATCACCAACTGATACTGAAGCAACAACAGAGTCTGATAAAACAGCTACTAGTGTCACAACTGAAACGATATCTCCAACTGATACTGAAGCAATAACAGAGGCTGATATAACTGCTTCTGAAGTCACAACAGAGGCGGTATCACCAACTGATACTGAAGCTACAACAGAGTCTGATATAACTTCTACTAGTGTCACAACTGAAACGATATCACCAACTGATACTGAAGCAACAACAGAGTCTGATAAAACAGCTACTAGTGTCACAACTGAAACGATATCTCCAACTGATACTGAAGCAATAACAGAGTCTGATATAACAGCTACTAATGTCACATCAGAGCCAGTATCTTTGCCTGATACTGAAGCTACAACAGAGTCTGATATAACAGCTACTAGTGTCACAACTGAAACGATATCTCCAACTGATACTGAAGCAATAACAGAGTCGGATGTAACCACTACTAGTGTCACAACAGACCCGGTATCTCCGACTGATACTGAAGCAACAACAGAGTCTGATATAACTGCTACTAGTGTCACAAAAGAGCCGGTATCTCCGACTGATACTGAAGCTACAACAGAGTCTGATATAACAGCTACTAGTGTCACAACAGAGCTGGTATCTCTGGCTGATGCTGAAGCTACATCAGAGTCTGATCTAACAGTTACTAGTGTCACAACAGAGCCGGTATCTCTGGCTGATGCTGAAGCTACATCAGAGTCTGATATAACAGCTACTAGTGGCACAACAGAGCCGGTATCTCTGACTGACACTGAAGCTACAACAGAGTCTGATATAACAGCTACTAGTGTCACAACAAAGCCGGTATCTCCGACTGATACTGAAGCTACAACAGAGTCTGATATAACAGCTACTAGTGTCACAACAGAGCCGGTATCTCTGGCTGATGCTGAAGCTACAGCAGCGTCTGATATAACTGCTACTAGTGTCACAACAGAGGAAGTATCCCCAACTGATACTGAAGCAACTACAGAGTCTGATATAACTGCTACTCGTGTCACAACAGGGCTGGTATCTCCAACTGATACTGAAACTACCCAAGAGTCTGATATTAGTGTTACTTATTTCACAACAGAGGTGGTTTCCCCAACTGATACTGAAGCAAGAACTGACATTGGTCGCGGAACTACTGACTTCAAGACGGACTCGGGTACTTTGAATATTCTAGTTGAATAGTTTATTTCTGAATGTTCGTATGTTTTTATATTGATTTCTAGATTTGTGTACGAGTATGTGGTGTGTTTTTAGTTTAAATGTTTGATAGATATATTGTCATTGGCGTAAACTGGTAATGTGGTGTGTTTTTAGTTTAAATGTTTGATAGATATATTGTCATTGGCGTAAACTGGTATGAAGTAACATATATTGTATCTTTATTGGATTTGCCTTACTTATTTCAACCCCTGGCTCCGCCACTAACAATATTCCTGTTAACATATGTTTTTATTTTCTTCGTTTTGATAACATTCATGTTAGTATAAGTGTTTTGTCCTTCGTTTTGCACTCACAACTTAGTGTTTTTTGTATGCTTCGATTTGACAGTAAATAACTCTACTGTGTTGTTTACAATAGGTATTACTTTAAATGTTTGTTTTTTTATATGGTACGACAATCGTAGCAGGGTAAGTTACGACATCTTAAATATAAAGAGAGGAAACATCATTTTAAATTTAAACAATTGAAAAAGAGACAAGGCGCCAAAATTAGTAGAGGTATCGACAACCCAGATACAGCAACAACAGGGAAAATTACGACAACTAAAACATAGGTAAAATCAGCGAAAATCAAATCTTAACAGAGGCAAATTGCGAGGCAACATACTTGTATGTGCAAGTTAGAGCAATTGAATTAGAGTTAGTAACGGTTAAGTGTACAGTAACTGAAAAAGAAGCAATATCAGGTAAAATTAAACTGAATCAGAGGTAACATGATGCTAGCATCCCTGGATTTGAAACGGATGTTAGGTTGCGACCGCTCAAAATAGGCCATTAAGGTAGTTAAAACCACTGAAAGAGGCAGCATCAATCGAAATCAAACTGACACAAAAGCAATTTGGAAGTTAACACAACTGAAATAGAGGTAATATCAGGTAAAATTACGATTATCGAAACGGATGCAACAAGGTTTATAAAAAGGAATTACGTATCCATTTCATTGGAAGCATGTTTTACTTGATATTGTTGGCCGTAAAACTGTTTTGTAAATTGAGGAGATATTATAATCACTAAAACAGAGACAACATCTTTGTAAGTTAGAACAACTGAAACTAAGGCATCGTTCCAAAAAAAACGAAATAGATTCAACACCAGGGAGATCACGAAAGCCAAAACAGATGCTATAATGTTTAACTTTGTAAAACTCTTTTTGCTTATTCTATTTTTAAAATGTGTTATATACACAGCAAATTAACAAATATACCGTACAATACTGCTTCAGCTACCATAGACTCGAGCAGTAGCATACGTATGGTACCGACATTTTAGAATGAGCTTTAGAGGTGCATGGTATATTGTTCGGTTTTGCATGTACTGTTTTATGCTTATCACCCCTCTGTGTATGTGCAATCATCCATATAAAGGTCTTATCAGATAATACTTGTCATTTACCATAATAGTAAATGTGTTGCAAACGTGTTGTAAATGATTGCTTTGTATTCAGAGCAATTGATCAAACTGCATAATGTTTCATGTTTACCTACTTGACACTTTCTTTGTATATGTTATCATTATTGATGCGTTTTAATACTCTTATCTTTATGTGTGCTTTAAATGTGTAATTGCTTACAATATTGTATTCTCAAATTGTTTATTGAATTGCGGATTCCCAAAAGTTATATCATATGAATAATGAATATTATATGAAACAGTTATCATAGCCCAGGAGGGTTTTGCAAGGTGAACGCAATGAGTTATGATTGTATTATTTAGCTGAGTATATATATAATGTTTAATCAAACGAATAAAAATGCAAATTTTGCAGAGTCTGCCATAACTGCTACTAGCGTCACAACAGAGGCGGTATCTCCAACTGATACTGAAGCAACAACAGAATCTGATATAATTGCTACTAGTGTTACAACAGTGGCAGTATCTCCAACTGATACTGAAACAAAAACAGCGTCTGCTATAACTGCTACTAGTGTCACAACAGAGGCGGAATCTCCAATTGATGCTGAAGCAACAACAGAGTCTGATATAACTGATACTAGTGTCACAACAGAGGCGGTATCTCCAACTGATACTGAAGCAACAACAGAATCTGATAAAATTGCTACTAGTATCACAACAGAAGCATTATCTCCAACTGATACTGAAGCAACAACAGAGTCTGATGTAACAGCTACTAGTTTCACAACAGAGCCGGTATCTCCGACTGATACGGAAGCTACAACTGAGTCTGATATAACTGCTACTAGTGTCACGACAGAGGCGGTATCACCAACTAATACTGAGGCTACAACAGAGTCTGATGCTTCTAGTGTCACAACAGAGGTGGTATCTCCAACTGATACTGAAGCAATAACAGAGTCTGATATAACTGCTTCTATAGTCACAACAGAGGCGGTATCACCAACTGATACTGAAACAAAAACAGAGTCTGATATAACGGCTACTAGTGTCACAACAGAGCTGGCATCTCCGACTGATACTGAAGCTAAAACAGAGTCTGATATAACTGCTACTAGTGTCACGACAGAGGCGGTATCACCAACTGATACTGAAGCAATAACAGAGTCTGATATAACTGCTACTAGTGTCACAACAGAGCCGGCATCTCCGACTGATACTGAAGCTACAACAGAGTCTGATATAACTGCTACTAGTGTCACGACAGAGGCGGTATCTCCAACTGATACTGAAGCTACAACAGAGTCTGATATAACTGCTACTAGTGTCACAGCTGAAGCGGCATCTCCGACTGATACTGAAGCTACAACAAAGTCTGATATAAGAGCTACTAGAGTCACAACTGAAGCGGTATCTCGAACCGATAGTGAAGCAATAACAGAGTCTGATATAACTGCTACTAGTGTCACAACAGAGCCGGTATCACCAACTGATACCGAAGCTACAACAGAGTCTGATATAACTGCTACTAGTGTCACAACAGAGCCGGTATCTCCGACTGATACTGAAGCTACAACAGAGTCTGATATAACTGCTACTAGTGTCACAGCAGAGGCGGTATCATCATCTGATACTGAAGCTACAACAGAATCCGATATAACTGCTACTAGTGTCACAACAGAGCCGGTATCACCAACTGATACCAAAGCTACAACAGAGTCTGATATAACTGCTACTAGTGTCACAACAGAGCCGGTATCTCCGACTGATACCGAAGCTACAGCAGAGTCTGATATAACTGCTACTAGTGTCACAACAGAGGCGGTATTACCACCTGATACTGAAGCGACAACAGAATCTGATATAACTGCAACTAGTGTCGCAACAGAGGCAATATATCCAACTGATACTGATGCAACAACAGAGTCTGATATTACTGCTACTATTGTCACAACAGAGGCAATATCTCCAACTGATACTGAAGCAACAACAGAGTCTGATATAACTGCTACTAGTGTCACAACAGAGGCAATATCTCCAACTGATACTGAAGCTACAACAGAGGCAGATATAACAGCTACTATTGTCACAACAGAGGCAATATCTCCAACTGATACTGGAGCAACAACAGGGTCTGATATAACAGCTACTAGTGTCACAACAGAGACAATATCTCCAACTGATACTGTAGCAACAACAGGGTCTGCTATAACTGCTACTAGCGTCACAACTGAGGCGGTATTTCCAACTGATACTGAAGCAACAACAGAATCTGATATAATTGCTACTAGTCTCACAACAGGGCTGGTATCTCAAACTGATACTGAAGCGACAACAGTGTCTGAAATTACTGCTACTAGTATCATAACTGAAGTGGTATCTCCAACTGATACTGAAGGAATAACAGAGTCTGATATAACAGCTACTAGTGTCACAACAGGGCTGGTATCTCAAACTGATACTGAAGCGACAACAGAGTCTGAAATTACTGCTACTAGTGCCACAACAGAGGCGTTATCTCTAACTGATACTGAAACTACCCAAGAGTCTGATATTAGTGTTACTTATTTCACAACAGAGGTGGTTTCTCTAACTGATACTGAAGCAAGAACTGACATTGGTCGTGGAACTACTGACTTCAAGGCGGACTTAGGTACTTTGAGTATTCTTGTTGAATAGTATTTTAGTTTAAATGTTTGATAGATATATTGTCATTGGCGTAAACCGGTATGAAGTAACATATATCGTATCTATATTGGATTTGCCTTACTTATTTCAACCCCTGGCTACGCCACTCATAATATTCCTGTTAACATGTGTTTTTATTTTCTTCGTTTTGATAAAATTCATGTTAGTATAAGTGTTTCTGTCCTTCGTTTTGCACTCACAACTTAGTGTTTTTGTATGCTTCGATTTGAAAGTAAAACTCTACTGTGTTGTTTACAATAAGTATTGCTTTAAATGTTTGATTTTTGATATGTTACGACAATCGAAGCAGGGTAAGTAGAGGTGTCGACAACCCAGATACAGCAACAACAGGGAAAATTACGACAACTAAAACATATATTGTTGGCTGTTGAACTGTTTTGTAAATTGAGGGGATATTATAATCACTAAAACAGAGACAACATCTTTGTAAGTTAAAACAACTGAAACCAAGGCATCGTTGGAAAGTAAACTGAAATAGATTCAATACCAGGGGAGATCACGACAGCCAAAACAGATGCAATATTGTTTAACTTTGTAAAACTCTTTTTGCTTATTGTATTTCTAAAGTGTGTTATATACACAGCAAATCTGCAAATGTACCGTACAATACTGCTTCAGCTACCATAGACTTGAGCAGTAGCATACGTATGGTACAGGAATTTTAGAATGAGCTTTAGGGGTGAATGGTATATTGTTCGTTTTTGCATGTACTGTTTTATGTTTATCACCCCTCTGTGTATGTGCATGTTTACCCAACTGCAATCGTCCATATAAAATACTTATCAGATAATACTCGTCATTTACCATTATAGTAAATGTGCTGCAAATGTGTTGTAAATGATTGCTTTGTATTCAGAGCAATTGATCAAACTGCATGTTTCATGTTTACCTACTTGACACTTTCTTTGTATATATTATCATTATTGATGCGTTTTAATACTCTTATCTTTATGTGTGCTTTAAATGTGTAATTGCTTACAATATTGTATTTTCAAATTGTTTATTGATTTGCCGATTCCCAAAGGTTATATTATATGAAACAGTTATCATAGCCCAGGGGGTTCGAGAAAATTTGCAAGGTAGACGCAATGAGTTATCATTGTATTATTTAGCTGAGTCTTTATAATGTTTAATCAAACAAATAAAAATGCAAATTTTCTCATTGCTCTGATTTGCATTTTTTGACTTAATCACCAAATTTATGGAAGGTGTAAAATATTATATATTATGATAATCAATTATCATAAATTATTGGCAAAACAAATGAAAGTAGACCATAAGCATGAAGGTAAATAAACCTATCAGTAACATATCAATGGCAAATTAGGATTTAAATGAAGACTTAATGGAATTGAACCTTCTTCGGTTATGATTTCTATAATGATATAACATGGGCTTTCAATTGTGGAAGCCCATGGATATAATAAAAACATAATTGGTGATATGATGAATATTTGATCTCTATAGGTGTCACAACAATATCTTCAAGTGAGACACGGGCACCAACTAAGACAGAGGCGAACTCAACAACAGAGTCTGATATAACTGCTACTAGTGTCACAACAGAGGGGGTATCTCCAAGTGATACTGAAGAAACAACAGAGTCTGATATAATTGCTACTAGTGTCACAACAGAGGCGGTATCTCCAACTGATACTGAAGCAACAACAGAATCTGATATAACTGCTACTAGTGTCACAACAGAGGCGGTATCTCGAACTGATTCTGAAGCGACAACAGAGTCTGATATAATTGCTACTCGTGTCACAACAGAGGCAGTATCTCCAACTGATACTGAAGCAACAACAGAATCTGATATAATTGCTACTAGTGTCACAACAGAGGCGGTATCTCGTACTGATACTGAAGCGACAACAGAGTCTGATATAATTGCTACTAGTGTCACAACAGAGACAATATCTCAAACTGATACTGAAGCAACAACAGAATCTGATATAACTGCTACTAGTGTCACAACAGAGGCGGTATCACCAACTGATACCGAAGCGACAACAGAGTCTGATATAACTACTACTATTGTCACAACAGAGGCCGTATCACCAACTGATACTGAAGCAACAACAGAATCTGATATAATTGCTACTAGTGTCACAACAGAGGCGGTATCTCGAACTGATACTGAAGCGACAACAGAGTCTGATATAATTGCTACTAGTGTCACAACAGAGACAATATCTCCAACTGATACTGAAGTAACAACAGAATCTGATATAATTGCTACTAGTGTCACAACAGAATCAATATATCCGACTGATACTGAAGCAATAACAGAATCTGATATAATTGCTACTAGTGTCACAACAGAGGCGGTGTCTCCAACTGATACTGAAGGAAGAACAGTGTCTGATATAGCAGCAACTAGTGTCACAACAGAGGCAATATCTCCAACTGATACTGAAGCAACAACAGAATCTGATATAACTACTACTAGTGTCACAACAGAGGCGGTATCTCGAACTGATACTGAAGCGACAACAGAGTCTGATATAATTGCTACTAGTGTCACAACAAAATCAATATCTCCGACTGATACCGAAACAATAACAGAATCTGATATAATTGCTACTCATGTCACTACAGAGGCAGTATCTCCAACTGATACTGAAGCAATAACAGAATCTGATATAATTGCTACTCGTGTCACAACAGAGGCGGTATCTCCAACTGATACTGAAGCAATAACAGAGTCTGATATAACTGCTTCTATTGTCACAACAGAGACAATATCTCAAACTGATACTGAAGCAAATACAGAATCTGATATAATTGCTACTAGTGTCACAACAGAGGCTATATCTCCAACTGATACTGAAGCGACAACAGAGTCTGATATAACTACTACTATTGTCACAACAGAGGCGGTATCTCCAACTGATACTGAAGCAACAACAGAGTCTGATATAACTGCTACTAGTGTCACAACAGAGGCAATATCTCCAACTGATACTGAAGCGACAACAGAGTCTGATATAACTGCTTCTATTGTCACAACAGAGGCAATATCTCTAACTGATACTGAAGCAACAACAGAATCTGATATAACTGCTACTAGTGTCACAACAGAGGCGGTATCACGTACTGATACTGAAGCGACAACAGAGTCTGATACAACAGCTTCTATTGTCACAACAGAGGCAATATCTCTAACTGATACTGAAGCAACAACAGAATCTGATATAACTGCTACTCGTGTCACAACAGAGGCGGTATCTCCTACTGATACTGAAGCTACTGCAGAGTCTGATACAACAGCTACTAGTGTCACAACAGAGGCAATATCTCCAACTGATACTGAAGCAACAACAGAGTCTGATGTAATTGCTACTAGTGTCACAACAGAGGCGGTATCTCGAACTGATACTAAAGCGACAACAGAGTCTGATATAATTGCTACTCGTGTCACAACAGAGGCGGTATCTCCAACTGATACTGAAGCAATAACAGAGTCTGATATAATTGCTACTAGTGTCACAACAGAATCAATATATCCAACTGATACTGAAGCAATAACAGAATCTGATATAATTGCTACTAGTGTCATAACAGAGGCGGTGTCTCCAACTGATACTGAAGGAAGAACAGTGTCTGATATAACTGCTTCTATTGTCACAACAGAGGCAATATCTCCAACTGATACTGAAGCAACAACAGAATCTGATATAACTGCTACTAGTGTCACAACAGAGGCGGTATCTCGAACTGATACTGAAGCGACAACAGAGTCTGATATAATTGCTACTAGTGTCACAACAGAATCAATATCTCCGACTGATACCGAAACAATAACAGAATCTGATATAATTGCTACTCATGTCACTACAGAGGCAGTATCTCCAACTGATACTGAAGCAAGAACAGAATCTGATATAATTGCTACTCGTGTCACAACAGAGGCGGTATCTCCAACTGATACTGAAGCAATAACAGAGTCTGATATAACTGCTTCTATTGTCACAACAGAGGCAATATCTCAAACTGATACTGAAGCAACAACAGAATCTGATATAATTGCTACTAGTGTCACAACAGAGGCTATATCTCCAACTGATACTGAAGCGACAACAGAGTCTGATATAACTACTACTATTGTCACAACAGAGGCGGTATCTCCAACTGATACTGAAGCAACAACAGAGTCTGATATAACTGCTACTAGTGTCACAACAGAGGCAATATCTCAAACTGATACTGAAGCGACAACAGAGTCTGATATAACTGCTTCTATTGTCACCACAGAGGCAATATCTCTAACTGATACTGAAGCAACAACAGAATCAGATATAACTGACACTAGTGTCACAACAGAGGCAATATCTCCAACTGATACTGAAGCAACAACAGAGTCTGATATAATTGCTACTAGTGTCACAACAGAGGCGGTATCTCGAACTGATACTAAAGCGACAACAGAGTCTGATATAATTGCTACTCGTGTCACAACAGAGCCGGTATCTCCAACTGATACTGAAGCAATAACAGAGTCTGATATAACTACTACTATTGTCACAACAGAGGCGGTATCACCAACTGATACGGAAGCAACAACAGAATCTGATATAATTGCTACTCGTGTCACAAAAGAGGCGGTATCACCAACTGATACTGAAGCAACAACAGAATCTGATATAATTGCTACTCGTGTCACAACAGAGGTGGTATCTCCAACTGATACTGAAGCAACAACAGAATCTGATATAATTGCTTCTAGTGTCACAACAGAGGCGGTATCACCAACTGATACTGAAGCAACAACAGAATCTGATATAATTGCTAATCGTGTCACAACAGAGGCGGTATCTCGAACTGATACTGGAGCAACAACAGAATCTGATATAACTGCTACTAGTGTCACAACAGAGGCGGTATCTCCAACTGATACTGAAAGAATAACAGAGTCTGATATACCTGCTTCTTTTGTCACAACAGAATCGGTATCTCCAACTGATACTGAAGCTACAACAGAGTCTGATATAATTGCTACTAGTGTCACAACAGAGGCAATATATCCAACTGATACTGGAGCAACAACAGAATCTGCTATAAGTGCTACTAGTGTCACAACAGAGGCGGTATCTCCAACTGATACTGAAGCAACAACAGAATCTGATATAATTGCTACTAGTGTCACAACAGAATCAATATACCCGACTGATACTGAAGCAATAACAGAATCTGATATAATTGCTACTAGTGTCACAGCAGAGGCGGCGTCTCCAACTGATACTGAAGGAAGAACAGTGTCTGATATAACTGCTTCTATTGTCACAACAGAGGCAATATCTCCAACTGATACTGAAGCAACAACAGAATCTGATATAACTGCTACTAGTGTCACAACAGAGGCAATATCTCCAACTGATACTGAAGCAACAACAGAATCTGATATAACTGCTACTAGTGTCACAACAGAGGCGGTATCTCGAACTGATACTGAAGCGACAACAGAGTCTGATATAATTGCTACTAGTGTCACAACAGAATCAATATCTCCGACTGATACCGAAGCAATAACAGAATCTGATATAATTGCTACTCATGTCACTACAGAGGCGGTATCTCCAACTGATACTGAAGCAATAACAGAATCTGATATAATTGCTACACGTGTCACAACAGAGGCGGTATCTCCAACTGATACTGAAGCAATAACAGAGTCTGATATAACTGCTTCTATTGTCACAACGGAGGCAATATCTCAAACTGATACTGAAGCAACAACAGAATCTGATATAATTGCTACTAGTGTCACAACAGAGGCTATATCTCCAACTGATACTGAAGCGACAACGGAGTCTGATATAACTACTACTATTGTCACAACAGAGGCGGTATCTCCAACTGATACTGAAGCAACAACAGAGTCTGATATAACTGCTACTAGTGTCACAACAGAGGCAATATCCCCAACTGATACTGAAGCGACATCAGAGTCTGATATAACTGCTTCTGTTGTCACAACAGAGGCAATATCTCTAACTGATACTGAAGCAACAACAGAATCTGATATAACTGCTACTAGTGTCACAACAGAGGCAATATCTCCAACTGATACTGAAGCAACAACAGAGTCTGATATAATTGCTACTAGTGTCACAACAGAGGCGGTATCTCGAACTGATACTGAAGCGACAAGAGAGTCTGATATAATTGCTACTCGTGTTACAACAGAGGCGGTATCTCCAACTGATACTGAAGCGACAACAGAGTCTGATATAACTGCTACTTTTGTCACAACAGAGGCGGTATCACCAATTGATACTGAAGCAACAACAGAATCTGATATAATTGCTACTCGTGTCACAAAAGAGGCGGTATCTCCTACTGATACTGAAGCAACAACAGAATCTGATATAATTGCTACTCGTGTCACAACAGAGGCGGTATCTCCAACTGATACTGAAGGAACAACAGAGTCTGATATAATTGCTACTAGTGTCACAACAGAGGCGGTATCTCGAACTGATACTGGAGCAACAACAGAATCTGATATAACTGCTACTAGTGTCACAACAGAGGCGGTATCTCCAACTGATACTGAAAGAATAACAGAGTCTGATATACCTGCTTCTTTTGTCACAACAGAATCGGTATCTCCTACTGATACTGAAGCTACAACAGAGTCTGATATAATTGCTACTAGTGTCACAACAGAGGCAATATATCCAACTGATACTGGAGCAACAACAGAATCTGCTATAAGTGCTACTAGTGTCACAACAGAGGCGGTATCTCCAACTGATATTGAAGCAACAACAGAATCTGATATAATTGCTTCTAGTGTCACAACAGAGGCGGTATCACCAACTGATACTGAAGCAACAACAGAATCTGATATAATTGCTACTCGTGTCACAACAGAGGCGGCATCTCCAACTGATACTGATGGAACAACAGAGTCTGATATAATTGCTACTAGTGTCACAACAGAGGCGGTATCTCGAACTGATACTGGAGCAACAACAGAATCTGATATAACTGCTACTAGTGTCACAACAGAGGCGGTATCTCCAACTGATACTGAAAGAATAACAGAGTCTGATATACCTGCTTCTTTTGTCACAACAGAATCGGTATCTCCAACTGATACTGAAGCTACAACAGAGTCTGATATAATTGCTACTAGTGTCACAACAGAGGCAATATATCCAACTGATACTGGAGCAACAACAGAGCCTCATATAACTGCTACTATTGTCACAAAAGAGGCGGTATCTCCAACTGAGACTGAAGCAATAACAGAGTCTGATATAACTGCTACTAGTGTCACAACAGAGGCGGTATCTCCAACTGATACTGAAGCAATAACAGAGTCTGATATAACTGCTACTAGTGTCACAACAGAGGCTGTATCTCCAACTGATACTGAAGCAATAACAGAGTCTGATATTTCTGCTACTAGTGTCACAACTGAAACGATATCTGAAGCTACAACAGAGTCTGATATAATTGCTACTAGTGTCACAACAGAGGCAATATATCCAACTGATACTGGAGCAACAACAGAATTTGCTATAAGTGCTACTAGTGTCACAACAGAGGCGGTATCTCCAACTGATATTGAAGCAACAACAGAATCTGATATAATTGCTACTAGTGTCACAACAGAGGCGGTATCTCCAACTGATACTGAAGCAAGAACAGAATCTGATATAACTGCTACTAGTGTCACAACAGAGGCAATATCTCAAACTGATACTGAAGCAACAACAGAATCTGATATAACTGCTACTAGTGTCACAACAGAGGCGGTATCTCCAACTGATACTGAAGCAAGAACAGAATCTGATATAACTGCTACTAGTTTCACAACAGAGGCGGTACTTCCAACTGATACTGAAGCAACAACAGAATCTGATATAACTGCTACTGGTGTCACAACAGAGGCAATATCTCCAACTGATACTGGAGCAACAACAGAGCCTCATATAACTGCTACTATTGTCACAACAGAGGCGGTATCTCCAACTGAGACTGAAGCAATAACAGAGTCTGATATAACTGCTACTAGTGTCACAACAGAGGCGGTATCTCCAACTGAGACTGAAGCAATAACAGAGTCTGATATAACTGCTACTAGTGTCACAACAGAGGCGGTATCTCCAACTGATACTAAAGCAATAACAGAGTCTGATATAACTGCTACTAGTGTCACAACTGAAACGATATCTCCAACTGATACTGAAGCAACAACAGAGTTTGATATAACAGCTACTAGTGTCACAACAGAGGCAATATCTCCAAATGATACTGGAGCAACAACAGAGTCTGATATAACAGCTACTAGTGTCACAACAGAGGTGGTATCTCCAACTGATACTGAAGCAACAACAGAGTCTGATATAACAGCTACTAGTGTCACAACAGAGGTTGTATCTCCAACTGATACTGAAGCAACAACAGAGTCTGATATAACAGCTACTAGTGTCACAACAGAGGCGGTATCTCCAATTGATACTGAAGCAATAACAGAGTCTGATATAACTGCTACTAGTGTCACAACAGAGGCAATATCTCCAACTGATACTGGAGCAACAACAGAGTTACATATAACTGCTACTATTGTCACAACAGAGGCGGTATCTCCAACTGATACTGAAGCTACAACAGAGTCTGATATAACAGCTACTAGTGTCACAACAGAGGCGGTATCTCCAACTGATACTGAAGCAATAACAGAGTCTGATATAACTGCTTCTATTGTCACAACAGAGGCGGTATCTCCAACTGATACTGAAGCAACAACAGAGTCTGATATAACAGCTACTAATGTCACAACAGAGGCGGTATCTCCAACTGATACTGAAGCAATAACAGAGTCTGATATAACTGCTTCTATTGTCACAACAGAGGTGGTATCTCCAACTGATACTGAAGCAACAACAGAGTCTGATATAACAGCCACTAGTGTCACAACAGAGGCGGTATCTCCAACTGATACTGAAGCAATAACAGAGTCTGATATAACTGCTACTAGTGTCACAACAGAGGCAATATCTCCAACTGATACTGGAGCAACAACAGAGTCACATATAACTGCTACTATTGTCACAACAGAGGCGGTATCTCCAACTGATACTGAAGCTACAACAGAGTCTGATATAACAGCTACTAGTGTCACAACAGAGGCGGTATCTCCAACTGATACTGAAGCAATAACAGAGTCTGATATAACTGCTTCTATTGTCACAACAGAGGCGGTATCTCCAACTGATACTGAAACAATAACAGAGTCTGATATAACTGCTACTAGTGTCACAACAGAGGCGGTATCTCCAACTGATGCTGGAGCAACAACAGAGTCTGATATAACTGATACTAGTGTCACAACAGAGGTGGCATCACCAACTGATACTGAAGGTACAACAGAGTCTGATATATCTCCTACAAGTGTCACAATAGTGGCAATATCTCCAACTGGTACTGAAGTAACAACAGAGTCAACTGATATTGTAGCTTCAACTGTGTTTGATATTACTGATGTTGATGTTACAACAGAGGCAGTGTCTCTAACTGATGCGTTACCGACAACAGTGTCTGATATAACTGCTACAGATGTTACAACAGAGGCGGTATCCCCAACTGATACTGTAGCGACAACTGAGCCCTCAATAACTGAGGATGACGTTACAATAGAGGCATTGTCTTCAACTGCTACTGAATCCACGACTGAATCTCATTTCACAACAGAGGCAGTATCTCTAACTGATGCTGAAACACCTAGTAAGTCTGATATAACCGAAGCTGCTGTTACCATATGCATACTTAATAGCGTTACATGTTATTATTACTCGATGCTTTTTGTTAGTCGTTTGCGATTATGTGCTTAATTTACATTCTTTTGTTATGCATATTGGCATTGTATTGTATTGTATGCATTGTACAGGGTGGGCCAAAAAAAGTTCACCCCTTTTCATTTTAATCTAATTTTCTTATTTTTGATGCAATGCCTCTAAAAATTGATATGTATATAGCTCAGACATTTCTGTACATGTTGTTAGGATTTGAGTGAAATTTATGCAACAGCGTTGTCATGACACCTAAAATATATTTATGGTGTGTCATGAAAAAAAAACCAGAAATTCACTTCATTTACAAAATGGCGGATTTCAAAAAAAGGAGGGAAATTTGAAAAGAAGTTATCATGGTAAATATAATTTTTATGTCAGTTAATGCAAAATATTACAAAGTAGAGTGTTAATTAATAGTCAGAGTTGATGATAAACACCTCTTTAAACAATTAAGTACTTATAAACACCCGATACTACCATAGATGAAACAAAGAAGCAAATACACCGAGAGCGACTTGTAAAGGAGAGGAGAAAGTTTACCTCAAAAATAATGGTATCTGCCGGCGTATCTAAATTGGGAAAAACTAGAGTAACATTTGTTCAACCTGGAGCCAAAATGAATTCTACATACTATAGACAGAGTGCTAAAAAAGTCCTTATTAAAGGATATGAATCGCATCAATCCAAAGTACATATTCCAACAAGATGGGGCTCCCTCGCACACATCTAAAGCGACAATGGAGTTCTTGCATGCCAATGCACCTGATTTTATCCCCCCTGACTTATGGCCCCCAAATAGCCCTGATCTCAATGTTATGGATTATTTTGTGTGGGGTGAACTAGAAAAACATGTTCATAGTGTTCCCATCCATTCAGTTCAAGAACTCAAACAAAGAATAACTTTATGTTGGGAACAATTATCACAACAATCAATTAACGCAGCAATAAATAAATGGCGTCATAGACTAAAACTGGTTGTGCAGGAACAAGGAGGACATATTGAACATTTACTTTAAAAACAAAACAGCCAAAGACACACCTAATGTTATATATCGACCTTGTTTAGAAATGTCTCAGTTATCTACATATCAATTTTTTAAGGGATTGCATCAAAAATAAAAAAATGAGATTAAAATGAAAAGGGGTGAACTTTTTTTTGGCCCACCCTGTATTGTATTGTGCTGTACTGTACGGTACTGTTTTGCACTGCATGTACATGTATATATTAATGCAGCCGTATGTTTGTTGTCCTTGTATGTTCATGTTTTGTCACAGCCATGTGCTCTAGGCATACAATGCTTCGTTGTTTTATATTGTATTTAAAATAAACCCTAAATGTGTTTCTGTTAATTGCATGTTTATTTTACATGACCAAAGAAATTGCAGTTCAGTCAATGTATACGTGTGTAGCATTTCGCGAGAGATATTGGACTGTAAATCGACATTTCTTCAAAATCATTGAAATAAACTAAAACTGACTTTCACACACATCTGTCTCGTGACCATGCCCTAAGACACAGATGTATAAATATTTGTAAAATGTTGTTTAAAAGGATATACAGTAATACTAAAGAACACTAAGTACTCGAGTCTGAACAAACTAATTACTTGATATTATCCACTTACTTACTTAATTTTTTCATATTACATGAATGCCTTTAAACAGCATCACAAACAGGTTCATAATGTTATTTCTTAAACAACCAATGAGGGCCTGTCTCATTACCTTATTGGTTCGAAATCCTCCCATTCTTCCAACCAAATTAATTGTGTTTACAAATCAATTTCTTCTTGGAGTCATGGGGACACTGAAGTTGTTTTGAAGGTCAGTTCTAGTCGTTGGCACGCATAAGGTAGGTTGCGTTTATTACTCAGTTTATATCTTTATGAAAGAAAATAATGTCATCTTCTGATTTTACAAAAATCGTTACATCATTAAGACCCATTGAAATCAATGTTCTTTTCTGATAGTTTGCATTTCGATCGGGAAATTTGACCCGGTATTCAATGTTATGTCTATGTTTAATTGTCTATGTCTTTATATATGTATATGTCTATGTCTTTGTATGTTACCGATTGTGCCATGTACTCTCGTACGCATATTTATTTGTTTTGATGCTTTATTTGTCGCTGGCTTGAACTCAGTCTTGCTTTATATGTGCCTATGTTATACAAACCCAGAGCAATGCTTGTAGTACTAAAACGCATGTTTTGTAACAAATTCAATAGTCACAATGAAATATGATATGATTTGTTATGGAATAATAACACAATGCAGAACATAAAGTGGGTGATCATCTTTTGCAATCGACTCTATATCTCAGCAAATATTTAGAATCATGTCATCAACCTTAGTAGAAATATAAAACATGCACTTCTTATTATATTTTGAAAATCTTATGTAACATCAGTCACTAAGATGTTTTCAGGTATGGTTGTTGTAATGTATGTTTAAGTACTTAACGCACATTATAAATAGATATAATATAAAGCAACATATAATAAATAAATATATAATTTATTTATACACTTTCCTCTAAATAGAAAATGTAGGCTCTTTGGTAATTAATCTAATTTAAAAGCCACCTGTAATCCATTTTTAGAATTAGAACCCACACTCTTCATTTTAACTGATCTTTAAATTATCAAAATTGTGTTTTAAGTACCCACTACTGCATGGCCATGTGAAACTCTCGACATCCGTAGACACAAAAACATTTTTGAATGATCTTTTGAATCTCAGACTTTGTTGTATAAAGCCCCCCTCACATGAACGTATTCACTAGACGCAGTCTTGCAAATAGGAATTAGTAAAATTCGTTCAAATTCATGCATTACTGTATGTGCGTTGTGCATTGTTGGAGTGTTCGTATGTGTAAGTATCCCTTCAGAAAGCTTCGTTCGCAATCGCTAGTATGGACATCGCAAGACTACGTTTGTTGGATTCGTTCATATGTGAGGGGCCTAAAGGGAGAAGAGTGTACACTGTTCTGTCTGTTCCCTAATAAGGGCTGATACTCTTATCTTAGTTTCATCATTGTATACAAGGTTCCATACGAGTATAAGTCTAATGAGACAATATCTTGTATTGCTTTTTCATAATGGTAATAATAAGTAATAATTTCGGAATGAGAGACCTTTGGACCTATTTTGAACAAATAAGCCACATCATTACATTAGTATCTTGATCCACATATTTTGTTACTGATGAACACGGATTTAAAACATTTGGACTGGTTAAAACTACCAAGCCGACTTGTAGAATGAAACATTTATAATAGAATAAAAGATGGGATGTTCACTGTACCATTGTTAAAATCCATACAATTAAAACGAAAATGAATTTTGCATGAAGTGCGGCAGGCAACTATAATCAACAATGGGATAGGAATCATACTTTAAACTCTTGAGGGTTTCAAAAAAGTTGGGTACAATTTTTATGCCAACTTTCATGACAGGATTCCAAACATTTTCTGAGATAAGAAGTAACTTCAAAATATATTGATCACCCAGAAAATGTATTGATTGGAACAGGGATACATACAGTGTATTCATTTTATCTATTACTATAGGTGATGTAACAACTGCTGGAGCAGCAACTCATACTAGAACAACTGTGTCTCCAACTGATATTGTGACACCAACTGAGTCTGATATTACTAAGGCTGATGCTACAACAGAGGCAGTAACTTCAACTGATACTGTAACAACAGCTGAGACTGGTATTACTAAGGCTGATGGTAAAACAGAGGCGGTATCTCCAACTGATACTGTAACAACAACCGAGTCCGATATTACTAAGGCTGATGCTACAACAGAGGCTGTTATAACATCTACCAGTGTCACAACAGAGGCGGTATCTCTGAGTGATACCGGGGCAACAACTGAAACTGATATTACTAAGGATGATGCTACAACTGAGGCGGTAACTTCAATTGATACTGTAGCACCAACTGATTCTGATATGACTAAAGCTGATGCTACAACAGAGGCGGTAACTTCAACTGATGCTGTAGAACCAACTGAGTCTGATATTACTAAGGCTGATGCTACAACTGAGGCGGTAACTTCAATTGATACTGTAGCACCAACTGATTCTGATATGACTAAAGCTGATGCTACAGCAGAGGCGGTAACCTCAACTGATACTGTAACAACAGCTGAGACTGGTATTACTAAGGCTGATGGTAAAACAGAGGCGGTATCTCCAACTGATGCTCAAGCAATAACAGAGCCTGATATAACAGCTACTAGTGCCACAACAGAGGCGGTATCTTTGAGTGATACCGAGGTAACAACTGAGACTGGAATTACTAAGGTTGATGCTACAACAGAAGCGGTAACTTCAACCGATACTGTAACGACAATTGATGCTGTATCACCAACTGAGTCTGCAATTACTAAGGCTGATGCTACAACAGAGGGGGTAACTTCAACTGATACTGTAACAACAACTGAATCTGATATTACTAAGACTGATGCTACAACAGAGGCGGTAACGTCAATTGATGCTGTAACACAAACTGAGACTGATATTACTAAGACTGATGCTACAACAGAAGCGGTAACTTCAACCGATACTGTAACAACAAGTGAATCTGATATTACTAAGGCTGATGCTACAATAGAAGCGGTAACTTCAACTGATGCTGTAACAACAAGTGAGTCTGATATTACTAAGGCTGATACTACAACAGAAGCGATAACTTCTACTGATGCTGTAGCACAAACGGATTCTGATATTACTAAGGCTGATGCTACAACAGAGGCTGTTATAACATCTACCAGTGTCACAACAGAGGCGGTATCTCTGAGTGATACCGGGGCAACAACTGAAACTGATATTACTAAGGATGATGCTACAACTGAGGCGGTAACTTCAATTGATACTGTAGCACCAACTGATTCTGATATGACTAAAGCTGATGCTACAACAGAGGCGGTAACTTCAACTGATGCTGTAGAACCAACTGATTCTGATATGACTAAAGCTGATGCTACAACAGAGGCGGTAACTTCAACTGATGCTGTAGAACCAACTGAGTCTGATATTACTAAGGATGATGCCACAACAGAGGCGGTAACTTCAATTGATGCTGTAACACCAACTGTGACAGATATTACTAAATCTGATGCTACAACAGAGGCGGTAACTTCAACCGATACTGTAACAACAAGTGAGTCTGATATTACTAAGGCTGGTGCTACAACAGAAGCGATAACTTCAACTGATGCTGTAACAACAACTGAATCTGATATTACTAAGGATGACGCAACAACAGAAGCAGTAACTTCAACCGATACTGTAACAACAACTGAGTCTGATATTACTAAAGCTGAACCTACAACAGAAGAGGTTACTTTAACTGATGATGTAACACCGACGGATTCTGATATTACTAAAGCTGATGCTACAACAGAAGAGGTTACTTCAACTGATGTTGTAGCCCCTACGGATTCTGATATTACTGAAGGTGATGCTACAACAAAGGCGCTAACTTCGACTGATACTGAAACAACAACTGAATCTGAAATTACTGAGACTGATGCTACGACAGAGGCGGTAACGTCAATTGATGCTGTATCACCAACTGAGTCTGCAATAACTAAGGCTGATGCTACAACAGAGGGGGTAACGTCAATTGATGCTGTAACACCAACCAAGTCTGATATTACTAAAACTGATGCTACAACAGAAGCTAAAACTTCAACTGATACTGTAACAACAACTGAATCTGGTATTACTAAGGTTGATGCTACAACAGAGGCGGTAACGTCAATTGATGATGTAACAGCAATTGAGTCTGATATTACTAAGGCTGGTACTACAACAGAGACGGTAACGTCAATTGATGCTGTTACACCAACTGAGTCTGATATTACTAAGGCTGATGCTACAACAGAAGCGGTAACTTCAACTGAAGCTGTAGCCCCTACAGATTCTGATATTACTGAAGCTGATGCTACAACACAGGCGCTAACTTCAACTGATACTGTTGCACCAACTGATTCTGATATTACTAAAGCTGATGCTACAACAATAGCGATAACTTCAAATTATACTGTTGCATCAACTGATTCTGATATTACTAAGGATGATGTTACGACAGAGTCAGTATCACCATCTGATTCTGTTGCACCAACTGATTCTGATATTACTAAGGCTGATGTTACTCAGTCTGATGTTACGACAGGGGCAGTATCACCATCTGGTACTGTAGCACCAACTGAGACTGATATGACCAAGGCTGATGTTTCAAGAGAGGTGGTATCTCCAACTGGTACTATAGCACAAACCGAGATTGATGTAACTGAACACAAAACTATATCTACAACTGAATCACGTTTGACAACAGAGGTGGTATCTCAAACTGATACTGTAGTAACAACTGATTTTGATATTACTACATCTGATATTACAACAGAGGCGGTATTACCAACTGATACTGTAGCACCAACTGAGCCTGATATTACTAAGTCTGATACCTCAACAGAGGTGGTATCTCCAACTGATACTGCAATACCAACTGAGTCTGATATTACTAAGGTTGATGCTACATTAAAGGCGGTAACTTTAACTGATACAGTTGCGCCAACTGATTCTGATATTACTAGGGCTGATGGTACGACAGAGGCGGTAACTAAAACTGATACAATTGCCCCAAATGATTCTGATATTACTAAAGCTGATATTACAGCAGAGGCACTAACTTCAACTGATACTGTTGTACCAACTGATTCTGATATTACTAAGGCTGATGCTACATCAGCGGCTGTAACTTCAACTGATACTGTTGCGCCGACTGATTCTGATATTACTAAGGCTGATGCTACATCAGAGGCGGTAACTTCAACTGGTACTGTTGCACCAACTGATTCTGATATTACTAAGGCTGATGTTACGAAAGGGGCAGTAACTTCAACTGATACTGTTGCGCCAACTGATTTTGATATTACTAAGGCTGATGTTACGACAGGGGCAGTATTTTCAACTGATACTGTCGCGCCAACTGATTCTGATATTACTAAGGCTGATGTTACGACAGAGGCGGTATCACCATCTGATACGGTAACACCAACTGATTCTGATATTACTAAGGCTGAAGTTACGACAGAGGCGGCATTACCATCTGATACTGTTGCACCAACTGATTCTGATATTACTAAGGCTGATGTTACGACAGAGGCATCTCCATTTGATACTGGAGCACCAACTGAGACTGATATTACTAAAGATGATGTTACAACAGAAGGAGTAATTTTAACTGAAACTGTTGCGCCAACTGATTCTGATATTACTAAGGCTGGTGTTACAACAGAAGGGGTAACTTCAACTGAAACTGTTGTGCCAACTGATTCTGATATTACTAAGGCTGATGTTACAACAGAGGCATTATCACCATCTGATACTGTTGCACCAATTGATCCTAATATTACTAAGACTGATGTAACAACGGGGGCAGTATCACCATCTGGTACCGTAGCACCTACTGAGTCTTATATTACTAAAGATGATGTTACAACAGAGGCGCTATCATCAACTGAAACTGTTGCGCAAACTGATTCCGATATTACTAAGTCTGATGTTACAACAGAAGGGGTAACTTCAACTGAAACTGTTGTGCCAACTGATTCTGTTATTACTAAAGATGATGTTACAACAGAAAGGATATCCCCGACTGATCGTGTAACACAGACTGAGACTGATATAACTGAATCAGCAACTAAATCTACAACTGAATCTCGTTTTACAACAGAGTTGGTAGGTCCAACTGATACTGTTGTACCAACTGATTCTGATATAACTAAGGCTGATGTTACAACAGAGGCAATATCACCATCTGATACTGTTGTACCAACTGATTCTGATATTACTAAGGCTGATGTTACAACAGAGGCAATATCACCATCTGATACTGTTGTACCAATTGATTCTAATATTACTAAGGCTGCTGTTACTACAGAAGCAGTAACTTCAACTGATACTGTTACACCAACTGATTCTGATATTACTAAGGCTGATCTTACAACAAAAGGGGTAACTCCAACTGATACTGTAGCGCAAACTGATTCTGATATTACTCAGACTGATGATACGACAGAGGCAATATCACCATCTGATACTGCTGTACCAACTGATTCTGATATTACTAAGGCTGATGTTACAACAGAAGGGATATCTTCAACTGAAACTGTTGCGCCAACTGATTCTGATATTACTAAGGCTGATGCTACAACAGAGGCGGTATCTTCAACTGATATTGTTGCGCCAACTGATTCTGATATTACTAAGTTTGATGCTACATCAGAGGCGGTAACTTCAACTGATACTGTTGCACCAACTGATTCTGATATTACTAAGGCTAGTGTTACGACAGAGGCAGTATCTTCAACTGATACTGTTGCGCCAACTTATTCGGATATTACTGAGGCTCATGATACAACAGAGGCAGTGACATCAACTGATACTGTTGCACCGACTGATTCTGATATAAGTAAGGCTGATGCTACAACAGAGGCGGTGACATCAACTTATACTGTTGCACCAACTGATTCTGATATTACTAAGCCTGATGTTACGACAGAGACAGTATCACCATCTGATACTGTTGCGCCAACTGATTCTGATATTACTAAGGCTGATGTTACAACAGGGGCAGTGTCACCATCTGGTACTGTTGCACAAACTGATTCTGATATTACTAAGGCTGATGTTACAACAGAGGCAATATCATCATCTCATACTGCTGTACCAACTGATTCTGATATTACCAAGGTTGATGTTACAACAGAGGCAATATCACCATCTGATACTGCTGTACCAACTGATTTTGATATATCTAAGGCTGGTTTTACAACAGAGGCAATATCACCATCTGATACTGTTGTACCGACTGATTCTAATATCACTAAGGCTGATGTTACGACAGAGGCAGTATCACCATCTGATACTGAAGCACCAACTGAGCCTCATATTACTAAAGATGATGTTACAACAGAAGGGGTATCCCTGACTGATCCTGTAACACTGACTGAGACTGACATAACTGAATCAACAACTAAATCTACAACTGAATCTCGTTTAACATCAGAGTTCGTTGGTCCAACTGATACTGTTGTATCAACTGATTCTGATATTACTAAGGCTGATGTTACGACAGGGGCAATGTCACCATCTGATACTGTTGTACCAACTGATTCTGATATTACTAAGGCTGATGTTACGACAGAGGCAATATCACCAGCTGATACTGTTGCACCAACTGATTCTGATATTACTAAGGCAGATGTTACGACAGAGGCAATATCACCATCTGATACTGTTGCACCAACTTATTCTGATATTACTAAGGCTGATGTCACGACAGAGGCAATATCACCATCTGATACTGCTGTATCAACTCATTCTGATATTTCTAAGGCTGGTGTTACAACAGAGGCAATATCACCATCTGATACTGTTGTACCAACTGATTTTGATATTACTAAGGCTGATGTTACAACAGAGGCAATATCACCATCTGATACTGCTTTACCAACTGATTCTGATATTACTAAGGCTGATGTTACAACAGAGGCAATATCACCATCTGATACTGCTGTACCAACTGATTCTGATATTACCAGTTCTGATGTTACGACAGAGGCAATATCACCATCTGATACTGCTGTACCAACTGATTCTGATATTACTAAGGCTGATGTTACGTCAGAGGCATCTCCATTTGATACTGAAACACCAACTGAGTCTGATATTACTAAAGATGATGTTACAACAGAGCAGGTATCCCCGACTGATCGTGTAACACAGACTGAGACTGACATAACTGAATCCACCACTAAATCTACAACTGAATCTCGTTTTACTACAGAGTTGGTTGGTCCAACTGATACTCTTGTATCAACTGATTCTGATATTACTAAGGCTGATGGTACGACAGAGGCAATATCATCATCTGATACTGTTGCGCCAACTGATTCTGATATTACTAAGGCTGATGGTACGACAGAGGCATCTGTATTTGATACTGGAGCACCGACTGAGTCTGATATTACTAAAGATGATGTTACAACAGAAGGGGTTACTTTAACTGAAACTATTGCGCCAACTGATTCTGATATAACTAAGGCTGATGTTACAACAGACGAGGTAACTTCGGCTGAAACTGTTGTGCCAACTGATTCTGATATTACTAAGGCTGATGTTACGACAGAGGCAGTATCACCATCTGATACTGTTGCGCCAACTGATTCTGATATTACTAAGGCTGATGTTACGACAGAGGCAATATCACCATCTGATACTGTTACACCAACTGATTCTGATATTACTAAGGCAGATGTTACGACAGAGGCAATATCACCATCTGATACTGTTGTACCAACTGATTCTGATATTACTAAGGCTGATGTTACAACAGAGGCAATATCACCATCTGATACTGTTGTACCAATTGATTCTAATATTACTAAGGCTGCTGTTACTACAGAAGCAGTAACTTCAACTGATACTGTTACACCAACTGATTCTGATATTACTAAGGCTGATCTTACAACAAAAGGGGTAACTCCAACTGATACTGTAGCGCAAACTGATTCTGATATTACTCAGACTGATGATACGACAGAGGCAATATCACCATCTGATACTGCTGTACCAACTGATTCTGATATTACTAAGGCTGATGTTACAACAGAAGGGATATCTTCAACTGAAACTGTTGCGCCAACTGATTCTGATATTACTAAGGCTGATGCTACAACAGAGGCGGTATCTTCAACTGATATTGTTGCGCCAACTGATTCTGATATTACTAAGTTTGATGCTACATCAGAGGCGGTAACTTCAACTGATACTGTTGCACCAACTGATTCTGATATTACTAAGGCTAGTGTTACGACAGAGGCAGTATCTTCAACTGATACTGTTGCGCCAACTTATTCGGATATTACTGAGGCTCATGATACAACAGAGGCAGTGACATCAACTGATACTGTTGCACCGACTGATTCTGATATAAGTAAGGCTGATGCTACAACAGAGGCGGTGACATCAACTTATACTGTTGCACCAACTGATTCTGATATTACTAAGCCTGATGTTACGACAGAGACAGTATCACCATCTGATACTGTTGCGCCAACTGATTCTGATATTACTAAGGCTGATGTTACAACAGGGGCAGTGTCACCATCTGGTACTGTTGCACAAACTGATTCTGATATTACTAAGGCTGATGTTACAACAGAGGCAATATCATCATCTCATACTGCTGTACCAACTGATTCTGATATTACCAAGGTTGATGTTACAACAGAGGCAATATCACCATCTGATACTGCTGTACCAACTGATTTTGATATATCTAAGGCTGGTTTTACAACAGAGGCAATATCACCATCTGATACTGTTGTACCGACTGATTCTAATATCACTAAGGCTGATGTTACGACAGAGGCAGTATCACCATCTGATACTGAAGCACCAACTGAGCCTCATATTACTAAAGATGATGTTACAACAGAAGGGGTATCCCTGACTGATCCTGTAACACTGACTGAGACTGACATAACTGAATCAACAACTAAATCTACAACTGAATCTCGTTTAACATCAGAGTTCGTTGGTCCAACTGATACTGTTGTATCAACTGATTCTGATATTACTAAGGCTGATGTTACGACAGGGGCAATGTCACCATCTGATACTGTTGTACCAACTGATTCTGATATTACTAAGGCTGATGTTACGACAGAGGCAATATCACCAGCTGATACTGTTGCACCAACTGATTCTGATATTACTAAGGCAGATGTTACGACAGAGGCAATATCACCATCTGATACTGTTGCACCAACTTATTCTGATATTACTAAGGCTGATGTCACGACAGAGGCAATATCACCATCTGATACTGCTGTATCAACTCATTCTGATATTTCTAAGGCTGGTGTTACAACAGAGGCAATATCACCATCTGATACTGTTGTACCAACTGATTTTGATATTACTAAGGCTGATGTTACAACAGAGGCAATATCACCATCTGATACTGCTTTACCAACTGATTCTGATATTACTAAGGCTGATGTTACAACAGAGGCAATATCACCATCTGATACTGCTGTACCAACTGATTCTGATATTACCAGTTCTGATGTTACGACAGAGGCAATATCACCATCTGATACTGCTGTACCAACTGATTCTGATATTACTAAGGCTGATGTTACGTCAGAGGCATCTCCATTTGATACTGAAACACCAACTGAGTCTGATATTACTAAAGATGATGTTACAACAGAGCAGGTATCCCCGACTGATCGTGTAACACAGACTGAGACTGACATAACTGAATCCACCACTAAATCTACAACTGAATCTCGTTTTACTACAGAGTTGGTTGGTCCAACTGATACTCTTGTATCAACTGATTCTGATATTACTAAGGCTGATGGTACGACAGAGGCAATATCATCATCTGATACTGTTGCGCCAACTGATTCTGATATTACTAAGGCTGATGGTACGACAGAGGCATCTGTATTTGATACTGGAGCACCGACTGAGTCTGATATTACTAAAGATGATGTTACAACAGAAGGGGTTACTTTAACTGAAACTATTGCGCCAACTGATTCTGATATAACTAAGGCTGATGTTACAACAGACGAGGTAACTTCGGCTGAAACTGTTGTGCCAACTGATTCTGATATTACTAAGGCTGATGTTACGACAGAGGCAGTATCACCATCTGATACTGTTGCGCCAACTGATTCTGATATTACTAAGGCTGATGTTACGACAGAGGCAATATCACCATCTGATACTGTTACACCAACTGATTCTGATATTACTAAGGCTGATGTCACGACAGAGGCAATATCACCATCTGATACTGCTGTACCAACTGATTCTGATATTTCTAAGGCTAGTGTTACAACAGAGGCAATATCACCATCTGATACTGTTGTAACAACTGATTTTGATATTACTAAGGCTGATGTTACAACAGAGGCAATATCACCATCTGATACTGCTTTACCAACTGATTCTGATATTACTAAGGCTGATGTTACAACAGAGGCAATATCACCATCTGATACTGCTGTACCAACTGATTCTGATATTACCAAGGCTGATGTTACGACAGAGGCAATATCACCATCTGATACTGCTGTACCAACTGATTCTGATATTACTAAGGCTGATATTACAACAGAGGCAGTATCACCATCTGATACTGTTGCGCCAACTGATTCTGATATTACTAAGGCTGATGTTACGACAGAGACATCTCCATTTGATACTGAAACACCAACTGAGTCTGATATTACTAAAGATGATGTTACAACAGAGCGGGTATCCCCGACTGATCATGTAACACAGACTGAGACTGACATAACTGAATCCACCTCTAAATCTACAACTGAATCTCGTTTTACGACAGAGTTGGTTGGTCCAACTGATACTCTTGTATCAACTGATTCTGATATTACTAAGGCTGATGGTACGACAGAGGCAATATCACCATCTGATACTGTTGCGCCAACTGATTCTGATATTACTAAGGCTGATGGTACGACAGAGGCATCTCCATTTGATACTGGAGCACCAACTGAGTCTGATAGTACTAAAGATGATGTTACAACAGAAGGGGTTACTTCAACTGAAACTGTTGCGCCAACTGATTCTGATATTACTAAGGTTGATGATACAACAGACGGGGTAACTTCGACTGAAACTGTTGTGCCAACTGATTCTGATATTACTAAGGCTGATGTTACGACAGAGGCAGTATCACCATCTGATACTGTTGCGCCAACTGATTCTGATATTACTAAGGCTGATGTTACTACAGAGGAAATATCACCATCGGATACTGTTGCACCAACTGATTCTGATATTACTAAGGCTGATGTCACGACAGACGCAATATCACCATCTGATACTGCTGTACCAACTGATTCTGATATTTCTAAGGCTGGTGTTACAACAGAGGCAATATCACCATCTGATACTGTTGTACCAACTGATTTTGATATTACTAAGGCTGATGTTCCAACAGAGGCAATATCACCATCTGATACTGCTTTACCAACTGATTCTGATATTACTAAGGCTGATGTTACAACAGAGGCAATATCACCATCTGATACTGCTGTACCAACTGATTCTGATATTACCAAGGCTGATGTTACGACAGAGGCAATATCACCATCTGATACTGCTGTACCAACTGATTCTGATATTACTAAGGCTGATGTTACAACAGAGGCAGTATCACCATCTGATACTGTTGCGCCAACTGATTCTGATATAACTAAGGCTGATATTACGACAGAGGCATCTCCATTTGATACTGAAACACCAACTGAGTCTGATATTACTAAAGATGATGTTACAACAGAGCGGGTATCCCCAACTGATCGTGTAACACAGACTGAGACTGACATAACTGAATCCACCACTAAATCTACAACTGAATCTCGTTTTACGACAGAGTTGGTTGGTCCAACTGATACTCTTGTATCAACTGATTCTGATATTACTAAGGCTGATGGTACAACAGAAGGGGTTACTTCAACTGAAACTGTTGCGCCAACTGATTCTGATATTACTAAGGCTGATGTTACAACAGACGGGGTAACTTCGACTGAAACTGTTGTGCCAACTGATTCTGATATTACTAAAGTTGATGTTACGACAGAGGCAGTATCACCATCTGATACTGTTGTGCCAACTGATTCTGATATTACTAAGGTTGATGTTACGACAGAGGCAGTATCACCATCTGATACTGTTGCGCCAACTGATTCTGATATAACTAAGGCTGATGTTACGACAGAGGCATCTCCATTTGATACTGAAACACCAACTGAGTCTGATATTACTAAAGATGATGTTACAACAGAAGGGGTATCCCCGACTGATCGTGTAACACAGGCTGAGACAGACATCACTGAATCCACAACTAAATCTACAACTAAATCTCGTTTTACAACAGAGTTGGTTGGTCCAACTGATACTGTTTTATCAACTGATTCTGATATTACTAAGGCTGCTGTTACAACAGAGGCAATACCACCATCTGATACTGTTGCACCAACTGGTTCTGATATTACTAAGGCTGATGTTACAACAGAGGCAACATCACCATCTGATACTGTTGTACCAACTGATTCTGATATTACTAAGGCTGATGTTACAACAGAGGCAACATCACCATCTGATACTGTTGTACCAACTGATTCTGATATTACTAAGTCTGATGTTACAACAGAGGCAATATCACCATCTGATACTGTTGTACCAACTGATTCTGATATTACTAAAGCTGATGTTACAACAGAGGCAGTAACTTCAACTGATACTGTTGCGCCAACTGATTCTGATATTACTAAGGCTGATGTTACATCAGAGGCAATATCACCATCTGATACTGTAGTACCAACTGATTCTGATATAACTAAGGCTGAAGGTACAACAGAGGTAGTAACTTCAACTGATACTGTTTCGCCAACTGATTCTGATATTACTAAGGCTGATGTTACAACAGAGGCAACATCACCATCTGATACTGTTGTACCAACTGATTCTGATATTACTAAGGTTGATGTTACGACAGAGGCATCTCCATTTGATACTGAAACAACAACTGAGTCTGATATTACTAAAGATTATGTTACAACAGAGCGGGTATCCCCGACTGATCGTGTAACACAGACTGAGACTGACATAACTGAATCCACAACTAAATCTACAACTGAATCTCGTTTTACAACAGAGTCGGTATTTCCAACTGATACTGTGGTACCAACTGAGTTTGATATCACTGAGTCAGATGTAACTACAAAGGCTGATGCTTTAGCACCAACTAAGTTTGATATTACTGAGGCAGGTTTAACAACAGAAGCAATATTTTCAACTGTTGCTTTAGCATCAACTGATAAGGCGATATCTTCAACTGATAGTTTAGTATCAACTGAGTCTGATATTACTGAGGCAGATGTTACAGCAGAGGTGGGATCTTCAACTGATACGACAGCTGCAACGGAGTCTGATATAACTGAATCCACAACTAAATCCACAACTGAATCTCGTTTTACAACGGCGTCGGAATCTCAAACTGATACTATACCAACAACAATATCTGATATTACTGAGCCTAGTGATGTTACAACAGAGGCAATATCACCATCTGATACTGCTTTACCAACTGATTCTGATATTACTAAGGCTGATGTTACAACAGAGGCAATATCACCATCTGATACTGCTGTACCAACTGATTCTGATATTACCAAGGCTGATGTTACGACAGAGGCAATATCACCATCTGATACTGCTGTACCAACTGATTCTGATATTACTAAGGCTGATGTTACAACAGAGGCAGTATCACCATCTGATACTGTTGCGCCAACTGATTCTGATATAACTAAGGCTGATATTACGACAGAGGCATCTCCATTTGATACTGAAACACCAACTGAGTCTGATATTACTAAAGATGATGTTACAACAGAGCGGGTATCCCCAACTGATCGTGTAACACAGACTGAGACTGACATAACTGAATCCACCACTAAATCTACAACTGAATCTCGTTTTACGACAGAGTTGGTTGGTCCAACTGATACTCTTGTATCAACTGATTCTGATATTACTAAGGCTGATGGTACAACAGAAGGGGTTACTTCAACTGAAACTGTTGCGCCAACTGATTCTGATATTACTAAGGCTGATGTTACAACAGACGGGGTAACTTCGACTGAAACTGTTGTGCCAACTGATTCTGATATTACTAAGGTTGATGTTACGACAGAGGCAGTATCACCATCTGATACTGTTGTGCCAACTGATTCTGATATTACTAAGGTTGGTGTTACGACAGAGGCAGTATCACCATCTGATACTGTTGCGCCAACTGATTCTGATATAACTAAGGCTGATGTTACGACAGAGGCATCTCCATTTGATACTGAAACACCAACTGAGTCTGATATTACTAAAGATGATGTTACAACAGAAGGGGTATCCCCGACTGATCGTGTAACACAGGCTGAGACAGACATCACTGAATCCACAACTAAATCTACAACTGAATCTCGTTTTACAACAGAGTTGGTTGGTCCAACTGATACTGTTGTATCAACTGATTCTGATATTACTAAGGCTGCTGTTACAACAGAGGCAATACCACCATCTGATACTGTTGCACCAACTGGTTCTGATATTACTAAGGCTGATGTTACAACAGAGGCAACATCACCATCTGATACTGTTGTACCAACTGATTCTGATATTACTAAGGCTGATGTTACAACAGAGGCAACATCACCATCTGATACTGTTGTACCAACTGATTCTGATATTACTAAGTCTGATGTTACAACAGAGGCAATATCAACATCTGATACTGTTGTACCAACTGATTCTGATATTACTAAGGCTGATGTTACAACAGAGGCAGTAACTTCAACTGATACTGTTGCGCCAACTGATTCTGATATTACTAAGGCTGATGTTACATCAGAGGCAATATCACCATCTGATACTGTAGTACCAACTGATTCTGATATAACTAAGGCTGAAGGTACAACAGAGGTAGTAACTTCAACTGATACTGTTTCGCCAACTGATTCTGATATTACTAAGGCTGATGTTACAACAGAGGCAACATCACCATCTGATACTGTTGTACCAACTGATTCTGATATTACTAAGGTTGATGTTACGACAGAGGCATCTCCATTTGATACTGAAACAACAACTGAGTCTGATATTACTAAAGATTATGTTACAACAGAGCGGGTATCCCCGACTGATCGTGTAACACAGACTGAGACTGACATAACTGAATCCACAACTAAATCTACAACTGAATCTCGTTTTACAACAGAGTCGGTATTTCCAACTGATACTGTGGTACCAACTGAGTTTGATATCACTGAGTCAGATGTAACTACAAAGGCTGATGCTTTAGCACCAACTAAGTTTGATATTACTGAGGCAGGTTTAACAACAGAAGCAATATTTTCAACTGTTGCTTTAGCATCAACTGATAAGGCGATATCTTCAACTGATAGTTTAGTATCAACTGAGTCTGATATTACTGAGGCAGATGTTACAGCAGAGGTGGGATCTTCAACTGATACGACAGCTGCAACGGAGTCTGATATAACTGAATCCACAACTAAATCCACAACTGAATCTCGTTTTACAACGGCGTCGGAATCTCAAACTGATACTATACCAACAACAATATCTGATATTACTGAGCCTAGTGATGTTACAACAAGTGCGGTATCACCAGCTGATACTGTAACACAAACTGACAGTACATCTGCTGCTAGGGTTACAGCAGAAGCGGTATCTTTGTCTGGTACTGAGGCACCAACTGACACTACTGTTACTGATGCTGATGTCAAAACTGAGGCGGTAACTGCAACTGAGACTGTGGCTTCAACTGTGTCTGATATTACTGATGCTGAGATTACAACAGAGGCGGTATCTGCTCCTGGTCCTTTAACTACTTCTGAAGATGAGCTTACAACTGCTACCACCTCAGCTACAACTACTGCTGCTCCTTTAACTACTTCTGAAGATGAGCTTACAACTGCTACCACCTCAGCTACAACTACTGCTGCTCCTTTAACTACTTCTGAAGATGAGCTTACAACTGCTACCACCTCAGCTACAACTACTGCTGCTCCTTCAACTGCTTCTGAAGATGAGCTAACAGCTGCTACCACCTCAGCTACAACTACTGTTGCTCCTTTAACTACTTCTGAAGATGAGCCAACAACTGCTACCACCTCAGCTACAACTACTGCTGCTCCTTCAACTGCTTCTGAAGATGAGCTAACAACTGCTACCACCTCAGCTACAACTACTGCTGCTCCTTCAACTACTTCTGAAGATGAGCCAACAACTGCTACCACCTCAGCTACAACTACTGCTGCTCCTTCCACTACTTCTGAAGATGAGCTAACAGCTGCTACCACCTCAGCTACAACTACTGCTGCTCCTTCAACTGCTTCTGAAGATGAGCTAACAACTGCTACCACCTCAGCTACAACTACTGCTGCTCCTTCAACTACTTCTGAAGATGAGCTAACAACTGCTACCACCTCAGCTACAACTACTGCTGCTCCTTCAACTGCTTCTGAAGATGAGCTAACAACTGCTACCACCTCAGCTACAACTACTGCTGCTCCTTCAACTGCTTCTGAAGATGAGCTAACAACTGCTACCACCTCGGCTACAACTACTGCTGCTCCTTCAACTACTTCTGAAGATGAGCTAACAACTGCTACCACCTCGGCTACAACTACTGCTGCTCCTTTAACTACTTCTGAAGATGAGCTAACAGCTGCTACCACCTCAGCTACAACTACTGCTGCTCCTTCAACTGCTTCTGAAGATGAGCTAACAACTGCTACCACCTCGGCTACAACTACTGCTGCTCCTTCAACTACTTCTGAAGATGAGCTAACAACTGCTACCACCTCAGCTACAACTACTGCTGCTCCTTCAACTGCTTCTGAAGATGAGCTAACAACTGCTACCACCTCAGCTACAACTACTGCTGCTCCTTCAACTGCTTCTGAAGATGAGCTAACAACTGCTACCACCTCAGCTACAACTACTGCTGCTCCTTCAACTGCTTCTGAAGATGAGCTAACAACTGCTACCACCTCAGCTACAACTACTGCTGCTCCTTCAACTGCTTCTGAAGATGAGCTTACAACTGCTACCATCTCAGCTTCAACTACTGCTGCTCCTTCAACTACTTCTGAAGATGAGCCAACAACTGCTACCACCTCAGCTACAACTACTGCTGTTCCTTCAACTACTTCTGAAGATGAGCTAACAACTGCTACCACCTCAGCTACAACTACTGCTGCTCCTTCAACTGCTTCTGAAGATGAGCTTACAACTGCTACCATCTCAGCTTCAACTACTGCTGCTCCTTCAACTACTTCTGAAGATGAGCTAACAACTGCTACCACCTCGGCTACAACTACTGCTGCTCCTTTAACTACTTCTGAAGATGAGCCAACAACTGCTACCACCTCAGCTACAACTACTGCTGCTCCTTCAACTACTTTTGAAAATAAGCCAACAACTGCTACCACCTCAGCTACAACTACTGCTGCTCCTTCAACTGCTTCTGAAGATAAGCTTACAACTGCTACCACCTCAGCTACAACTACTGCTGCTCCTTCCACTACTTCTGAAGATGAGCTAACAACTGCTACCACCTCAGCTACAACTACTGCTGTTGCTTCTACTTCTGCTACTACCACAGCTGAGCCAACAACTTTTTCCACCTCTGCCATCGCCACTACTTCCACTACTGCTGTTGATTCTTCTGAAGAGGACGACTCTTCTGAAGAGGACGACGATGACGAGGAAGTTTGTCAGAATAAGTGTCCTGATGGATATGCAATGACGACCACTGGATGCACAAACCGTAGGATATATTTAATTCTATCTAGATAAAAATGTAAATATGGTAATGAAACTAAACTTGCTGAATTGATGATGAGGCTGGCTCTTATCAAACACATTTCTAGATTGCTTTACCTTAAAAAATATATCACATTTCATCATATGGCCATAACTTCAAATATATTGACAACATTTTCGGGGGGAATCTTGTGAAATACACCACAAAGGCCCCTTCTACATGTGGCTATGTTATGTGTTGGGTCCAGTGTGTAAAGGACATTTAGAGAGACCTAGATTTGAAATTTCAAAAAGTTTATAATTTAATGTGATAAGTTTTCAAAATTGTTTTTATAGAGGGTCTGATTTTCCAAGTTCAAATAACGCTTGGAAATCGACTGTGGAATCAAAATTTGTTGATCAACACTTCAGATCTGTATAAAAAGACTGAGGAAGACGCTATGTGTTCGGTAAGTAATAGTATTTCAAGTTGATCATTTTACCAAGCAAGAGTGTCCGTTCTTTGAATAATGATGAATAATTAACACGATTCTTCCCAAGGCTCCGAGTGTACCATTTGAAAGGTGATATTGTGGGCTTTAAGTGCCTGACCTGCTTTTGGAGGTTTACTAGTAACAGATTTATCTTATCAATCATTCTAACACAAGGGATTAATCTAGAGAATTATAATTCCATTTTAAAACAATATTTTTGGAAATAACAAGAATCTGGATTTTATTATTTTTGAAATTATTGTACCATACACTACCCTCCATAAGTTTGGCAACCTTAGCTCCCCCATTGAACTACGTGTTAAAGCCTCTTTCCGTTTGAATTTTTATTTACTTAACCTGCGATGAAAATACGTATAATGTTGAAAGAAACGTAACTTGACTTTCCCTCTAATACATCCAAATTTTCTCCTCTATTACAACAGGTTAAAATTGATGAATTTCTGAAAATCGACATTCCCATGTTAACTAATAACGCAGATGCGAGTAGGTAGTTACCAGATTCACCACCAGATGGCTCGTTCGGGTCAGATAGCATGGCGGGTATAGTAGAAAGTTCCCTTTAACTTAAATTACATCTATTTGCGTGGTTCAATTTTCATATAACCCTTATGTATCTAATAGTTATGCAAATTAAAATATGCCCAGTAAAAGAAAATGTTATCTGTCCAATACAAGATAAGATAATTCACTTTTTGTGATTTTGTAACATGGGGTCTATGGGGAATCAACCCGAACAAGAAGTCACATTTTCAAAGTTGATAGACAATTTTCGAAACCATATTTCTAGATGTACTTTTACATGCAGATTTCAAATATGACATCACTTTGACTGAATTTTGAATATTAATGACGTAAATCACGATTATTTCTACTCGCATCTAGTCTATTGGAAATGGTAGGTTTGCCGCAAGTCATATGACGGAATATCCATCCACCCGAGTCCTTGCAAAAATACAAGTTAGGTAGGCAATTGAATTTCCTTACAAAATATTAATACGTTTCTTCGGGCTTAAGTTATAGGTCTTTAAATTCAAAATTATTTTTTTTAAAACTCTCCCATTGAATTTTCAAAATGACAAAAAAATGAAGCTCTGTAGCTCTGTAAACTAAACACTCAATTTTCTATATGAAAATATTTTTGCTAGATCTTTTACTGAATAGATATCCTGATTCCTGATTTGCCCCGAACCCACCATTTCCTATTGGTTTACATTGGAATGACGATTTTCAAAAAGTCCTCAACATTTATCATCAATTTTCGAGCTATTGTAATTGAGGGGAAAATATCAAAATTATAAGTTATATTATTAGTAATTTCATCGCAGGTTCAGTAAATAAAAATTCAAACGTAAAGAGGCTTTAACACGTAGTTCAATGGGGAATCTAAGGTTGTCAAACTTATGGAGGGTAGTGTATGGTACAATAATTTCAAATATCTTACTAACTGCAAATTGAATAAATATATTAAATAGGTGTACTATTGAACGCCAACTCGTAAATCAAGATTCTTTGCATACCAATATTATACCAATATATTCATTTTATTATAGATGAAACGGGGGTTCGACAATGGCCCCATGACAGACACACTTTCCTTCGGCCTACGACTAAGTAACTTCATAAAAGGAGGCTTTAGACGTAAGAAGAGGAGCACGGTTATTAAGAATGATGTGATTGCAAACATTATAGTGACGATGTCGCCCGTTGATGGAACTAAAACTGTTCGTGATATTGAAGTAGATTTTGAAGAGATTGTTAAATCGTTCAACTGTACCGCTGCCTCAAATGGAATTGAAAACGTGACATATAATTATGATGCCATCAAGCATATAAAAGGTACAGATATTGCTTTTGTGTTTTTGTTGTTATCCCAACGAAGTTCGTTGGGTATTGATTAGATATCAATTATAGACAGATTCTTTTTTGTGATTAAAAAAACAAAATAGCCGCGTCGGCCTTATGTGTGAATGTGTGAATTTGCAATAATTCGGCTCGAGAATATTGTATCGTCTTTCAAGTTTAGGCCTTTCCAGAATAGCCACTCAAACACCTTAGTTTATTGAATTTGAGAAGGCTATACCTTTCTGTGCAAATCTACTGTATTATGAAATATGTAAATATATTGTAACATTTTTAACTTTATTCGTGACATCTACAGCTTGATACGAGGTCATGAAAAGTATAAATCATTTCAAAAGTTAAATGACTGGCCAGGATTATGAAACATATCCCCATATATTCTATTTTAGATTTCAACGAATGTGATGACATAAATAACTCTACCTCGAGATGTGATCCGAGCGCCGATTGTGATAACACTCTTGGCTTCTATAAATGCAAGTGTCCTTATAACCTAATGGATGTCAGTCCTGATCCTAGGTATCCAGGGAGAAAATGTGTTCCACGTAAGTAATCGGGGTAAAACTCCAAGGGGAAAACCAAAACTAATCAAATGAAAGTCTACAAGACTACATTCTAACCTCGATTTCATATTTTTAATGTTGATACGTGAACTCCACAATTCAGCCTATTTAAAATGTCAGTTAATAAACATGAGAGTTATTAGGTCATGATGTAAATCGATGGAGGGCCCATGTTTCTCTTGTACCCAAATTAATATTTAAAAGTCAATAAGTAAGCTATGTATATATGTTTTACCTTCAGGTACTGGCCGAGATCTCATAAAAGTCATCATATCCTCCGTATTGGCAATCAGTGTCCTCTTGGTCTGCCTCGTCACCATATGTATCATCATTGCTCACCGATATTACCACATGAAACACAGGCGGGTGCGATCCACAGACCCTGTCTATATCTACGAAACGTCGACAAGCAGCGAAGCCGAACGACAATTTGAAGATGACGTCACTTCTACATCCAATGTGTCGGATGATAGCTACATCCAACATGGATCAATGATCCATAGAAATACTTTTGTTGGAACGGGACTCCCATATTCGGGAATCATGTCATATACCGAAGGAGTTCCGAGTAGTGCTGATGGTGACACACAGAACACTCCAGAATATTATTACGGTCAAACCTGGGAACGGTAGCGGTCAATGAGACAGGAATTCGAATACCCCAGTGGATAATAGACTTCTTGTATGTAGTTAAGAACTTAAGATACTGTAAGAATGAAATCAGATGGAGGTCATTTTGTTTCGAGGAACATTTTTGTTGATGAGGTCACTGATATATAATAACTCAGGGTACTGACAACCAATTCATCTTAAGTCCATCTCCATCACATTTAGATCCAATCATTAACAATGCCCAGAATGACAATAACCTTAACCTAGCAGTTTATTCATCTTTGTGAGTCAAGCCATTCTTCCGCCGTTGAGGCATCGATTGGATGAAATAGATTGTATGGGGTATGGCCATCCATCCTTCAATATCCTTGGACCAAGGATGGGCCTGGCAAATTAGAATGTAATTAAAATTGAATCATTGGGACTACGTCCGAGACTTGGAAACATCCACAGAACAACCCCTAGCTCTAATAGGGTGTCTGGGGGTATCCGGGGGTGTCAAATAAGTCCCCCCCCCCCTCTACAGCCAAAACCAAGATATTTTGGTACCAAGTGTGATGTATCATTGGAAAGGTCTTCCAAAGTTACGTTGATTGGCATATATCTGACACATGTCAATCAATCTCACACATTTTTACATTGTATCAATTGAGGTGACCATATGCATAGAAACATGGCAATTTGGCGTATTTGGCAGGATTTTAAGAATCGGGTATAAGAGAGGTCAAGAGATCAAAAAATGACTAAATACGTTTATGGCGATGAATTTAACCAATTTCTGGATAGGGTTAGATATGATGTGTAGAAAATAGAGGTGCAAGGAAAGTGGTGAAAACCTTTTTGTAACAAGTGGTAAATTTCATCCAAAATTCTTGAGAATTGGTGAGTTAACATAACTTTGGATGATCTTTCCAATGGTATATCACACTAGGTACCGTCTGTTAAGGTTTTAGCTGTAGCAGGGGGGACGGGACTTATTTGACACCCTGTAGATGGCGCACTCATGTCTAATATGAGGTAGTCTGGATATTACACTATTTCCTGAATGGTTAGTGACAATGGATTGTTGCAATTTCACGTTTATCAGAGACAATCCATGAATATGGAAGGATTTGTGATGTTAACATTCCCAGATTATTTTAGTTTCTTCTTGGCTATTAAGAGGGGGAACCTCCAGAATTCATAATTGTACCCCACACAGGGATGGACCTCTAAAAGTTAATCTTTACATAGAGGAATTCCGGGGTATTTCCTCCTCTTTTAGATATTATAACTATATTGTACCTAATTAACCCTATGGGTAACCCTGTTCCACATTCTCTGGTTAAAATCCTAATGCCTAACATGTAGAACAGGGCAATAATTAGGGGTGTAATTATGATAACAATATGATTTTAAGTTATTGGACTTTTAAAAAACAGTTCAATTTGCCGGTGTTGAATAAAAAGAGTAGATTAGTTATTAGGTCACCATATATCATTAAGGCAATGGAGAGAAGTTTTCACACCAGGATATAATGCAAGAAACACAACGTTGAACATACTTAGAGTACACAGAGTGCATTATTAATTATGTCACCACCAAAAGTGGTGACATATTGCTATGGTTATGACGGGGGAGGTCATGGTGGTGGTCTCCTTTTTTTGTGAAGACGGTTGGCGATCGGCAGTTGACGTCTGTAACAAATGGTGGTGACATTTTGCATGTTAATGCCTTATTTTTCTATTACCATCGGTAGTTGAGCAATAACTATATCTAGTAAAATATATGAACATATGGCTCCAGTAACGTCTCTTAGCTAAAGCCTCGGTCACATTTGATCTACAGCAACCGTAGGGCGGCCGTAGCTACAGCAACCGTACGGCGGCCGTAGCTTGCCAACATCGAGAGAATTATGCAGCATAAATCATAGGGATAAGCCGTACGATGTCGATTTTGTCTATCTCGATTTTGCGATGCTACGGCCGTTGTAGAGCAAATGTAACAGGGTGAAATTCGGAGAGGCCTTTTACTTTGAAACTGAACTGGTGTGACCACAGAATTCAGACCAATCTGACTCTTATATATATAATGACTTATTTTCTGATAATCAGCTATAAAACACAAACACTTCATGATAGAATACAGTAAACCTATTTGTACATACCCATAACATTGAGACAAGAATATATTTCTGAATATATTTCTAGTTGAAGGCAAAAAGATGTAATGAGTACCCGGATGGTCCCAAGCTTGCTAGTTAAATTCTGGAACACAGCTACTGGTGCTTTTGAGTAAAATGTGCCAAAGATTTCGTATGCTGCATTTATTACATTGACAGCATGGTGCATTTTTATGTTAAAACATAGGTGCTATGAGGTGTGGATGAGGCAAGTACTTCACTAAAAAAACATGTATAAGACAGAACACATGACGTTTTTAGTCCGAAACTGTCACCGAAGATTATGTCACGTATAGTTGTATAATATCCTTTTTGCTTGAAGTTATGTCTCACCTATTTTTATGCCTCTGTAGATGTTTAAATTATTTCATAGATCATTTCATCTGTAGTCACATCAATTGTAAATACCCCAGTGATCTTATTTTTACATGATAGGCAGTATCGGGAGTTTTTCATTTAAAAGAATCACATTCATTTGTAGTTTTACATTTAGTAATACAGGTTGGTCCAAAATGGCTGCGACCCGTTATAATTAAATGATTTTGAGTCAGATGAATGCAAACTATAAACGATTCAACCCATTTGCATGCAAACCAAATATAATATCCCAGAAGACATATGATGACAAAACAATGTAATACAAAAACAATGTAAGCTTATATAACCTGAGATTGCTAGGTCTGATAACGTGGATGCATCTTTTTAGAAAAATCCCGATAAATCCGCGTACTTTTTTTTAAAGAATGCTCTCTTTCTCTTATAATTCTCTCAATTAAACCCTGCTAGGTTTGCCATACCAAATAAATTATCATATCTTGGAAAGAGCAAGTTTTGCCATACCAAATAAATTATGATGTATTAGAAAGAGCCATAATATCATGAGTAGCAATCAAAATTTGACATTTTTTTCAAAATTAGCGATAACTTGAGATGATCCTGTCATAATGCATATATCCAAGCTTGTTTGGAGTAGAGAAAATGTATGTATGTATGTTTATGTGGATACATTTTTGTAATTTCAAACTAGAGAGTCCCATAGGTACACACATGTTTGTTTATATGTAGCTTTATTATATTTTCATGGAAAACTAATCAAAATATCAGATTAGTTTTGAATATTCAGTGATGTTATTTAACTATAGTATAGAACAATTAAAAATAAATGAGGTTTAGAAATGTACTAAACTATGGAGAAATAATCTAATAAATTGTTAAAATAAGTATTTATATGTAGCATATTTTGTGGCACTCAAAAATAATTGAAGTGTACTTTATATTCTTTTGTAAAAATAAGTATATGTCTTTCGCTGATTTTTGCTATATCGTCATGAACATAAGACGAAATTTCATATTTTAATAGAAAATAAATAAATAAACGAATTATGTTTTTGTCAATTATTTCCCCTACCAAGATGTTGTTGCTATCATTAGTAACAATAATCAGCGTCCGTAAATTAAACATAAGATGGGAATACAATATATCATATGAACTACAAATGAATATACCAGGAAATTCTGGCAATGAGATCCATTGTTTATTACGTAGAATCAAAATATTTTATTCCACCGTTTGAAAGCTCTCCACGTAACGCACATGAGCATTATTTGTAACGAATGGTTCTCAATTAAAAAGCTTCAGATATTGTTCAAGAATTTACAGCAAAATACATGATTTTATGCAAAATTGTTAGAAAACAACAATTGACGTATCAATACATTTGCGCTGAAGAGTACCGCTCGTCAAGTCCCACTAAAATGGATGGGTGTCATTGTCTAACTGGGTTGAAAAGAAGAATATATTGTCTTAATATTACTGTACCATATCTATGAGAACTAAAATTTTAAAATGCATTTTTCTCTGAACCACTTTTATGCATGGATGAGTTAATTTCTCGCTTGTCTATCAACCTATTTTTTCCTTCGAAAGACACGGGAGAATGAATGCTATGCATTTGTGAATTATCGCTTATAAAAAGATATATGTGAGCTCTAAAATTTAGTTTTACATAAATTCACGATTTTTCGAACAAAAAATCCTTCAAAATACAAAGTTTCACATATCACATTTCAATGACATTGGGTAAGACTACAATATAAGCCTAAGTGGTTTAAACTTTATATGGGACCTTTAAGATGTCATGCAAGTGATGAATAATTGTTTTATTCAGCTAAATTTTGCAAAGTAATTGGAATATAATTTCATTTTATACCTCTTGATCTGTTAACAAAAAGTACTTAGGAACCCAGGCTGGATATTTCAGATTTTTGATATTGGAGAGTATTACGCGATATCTTTTCATTTTGGGAGTTGTTCAGACTCAGAGGTGTCATGACATAACGGTTTTACTGTACATCACCATGTGCCTAGTTTAGAAATAGGAAACTAACAGGCCGAATATAACATCAAGATATCACTCCAAAGTCCAACTCATATTGGTTGAAAACCAAATAGCAAACTAGGCACAAATCAAAGTCTATGTTTTGGAGAGATACTAGAAAGAATTACTGTGAGTATTCGTTTTTATTATACGTTTACATTGGCCCTCTCTATGATGGTGAATGATCATGTATTCATACCGTTACTGGTGTATGGATGTATTCATTTATGTCTTGAAATAATTGTCGAAAAAAGTGCTTGAAAACATGAAGATTGAATACTTCATTTCCATTATACATATTGCCTTTTCAGAGTATGTTGTGCACATTGGTATTTGCCGTTGTCGTTATTGGAATAATTCTCGATTATGTGATTCGCTTACCATACATTCGGGGAATCCCCAAGAAGTATGTCATGATAACTGGATGTGACACTGGATTCGGAAACATATGTGCGAAAAAGTGAGTTACCGCTTATGATCAATGTTTTCATATAAATAAGTTGTCTATTTCTCCTTTTATCTGATCTTAATTTTTCAGTAAGACTACGATGATATATATCATCGAAAACTGCAATTGTATTGTTTAGATGCGATAAGCTTGGTTGCAATGTATTTGCGGCTTGCCTCACGGAGAAGGGTGCCGAAGAACTGAAAGCAGCGACTTCAAGCAGGGTGACAACCTTCATAATGAATGTAGCCGACCAGGCCAGCGTACGTACCGGGTATGAGTTTGTAAAGCAGAACTTACCTAAAGATACAGGTAAAAAAACTCAGAGAACCCCTTACCTGATTGAATATTGATTGAAGATACACAAATGTCCAAATTGATTAGAATTGAAAGGATTAGCCCACGTTTTCAAAACTGATTAAATTATTTAAAAATAGGCATGCATTAAATGATAAGAGCAAGAATTTCAGTTTTGTGACAATTTTCTCGAAACTTATTCTCAACTCTTCTGTAGTTTTTGTTTCCCTTTTACTAGGCATTCTGTTACTCATAGCATCTTTCTGTTTCACCTGAAACATGATCTCAGGGCTGAGAAGATTTGAGATGTCATAGTTTATCATGATGTTTACTAGGATAAATGGTGCAGTTTGAGTATTGCAGGCTGTTATCAATAATTAAAAATTGAACTTGAATTTATTCATTTGTTATGGTTTTGACCACAAGTGTCCTATTATACAAAATTCTGTAGGTCTTTGGGGTATAGTCAACAATGCTGGGGTTGGTGGTGCGACGGGACCTGCAGACTGGTTGATCTTAGAGGACTATCACAACGTTTGTTCCGTTAACCTCTTTGGTTTGATCGATGTCACTAACGTGTTCCTTCCCCTTGTGAAGAAGTCATTCGGACGGATTGTTAACACTGCGAGTGTCATGGGACGCTTCAGTCTCCCCGGTGCTACTCCTTACTCAGTATCGAAGTTTGGGGTGGAGGCATTTTCTGACGGTTTAAGGTAACTAGCTACATGGCCTAGACTCTGTACTGTATACTTTAATGAAGCCTGCCGATATTTCATTCATATTATTGTTTGTGAGAGAAATTGCCTCAAAGTCTGTTGTTTCAATGTATAATATCTATAATATTATCGCCAGGAACAACCTGACTTGTAACTAACTTGTGAATAGAGTTATGGGATGCCATTGTTTATCGTGCTAACCCTAAATGTGTATATCCAGATTCAGCATGTTGGCATTTGGTGTAGGTGTTTCCATCATAGAGCCGGGTTTCTTTGCAACTGCTATAGCAGACCAAGAGAAGCTGAAGAAACAGGCGGATGACATGTTTGCTAGGTGCCCTGCTGAAATAAAGGAACAATATGGAGAGGAATTTGTGAAAGAATGTAGGTAGTAGTTGCCGTGCCAAACGTAATGTTTAGCCTATATTTTTATGATATTTACATTTGTATGTGATATCAATTAAAATATCGAAAATTAATTGGTTATTCCGATCGTGCTAAGATATGACTTGCGGGATTCCGATCAATGATGCCATTAAAAACTAGTTTCTATAAGATGACGTCAAGTACACTCTGCGTACGTCACGAAAAAAAACCGTACTCTCAATTTCTGCTTTTGATGAGTATGTTCCTAGACAAGTACACAAAATAATTTGAAGATGCGGGTTTTTTATTTGATTCCTAACGATAAATACATGTAATTGTTTACTTACAGCAAAAGAAAAGGTCATTGGTGATTTCTTGAGCAAAATAACATCACCAAAGATTGACAAAGTTCCAGAAGCTTATTGTAACGCCTTGTTCAGCGTTTACCCGCGTACTCGATACCTTCTGGGATGGGACGCTTGGCTATTTTTCATGCCAATTTCCATGTTACCAGGGGTGTTCAATGACTGGCTGGGTAGATTGGGCAACAATATGCCACTTCCAGCTATTACGAAAAAGCTTCTGGCAGGAAAAAACGCAAGGTGATCAGAATGAGTCATGGACAGAATTGAGTGATCAGTGGACGATAGACATAACCATGTTGTTGAGTATGTTAGACAGTCGCTACTGGGGTTAAAAGCACCTCACTGTACTGTAAAAATTGCTGAAACATAGTTTACTACCATCACGTTTCTCAAGCCTGGATTTTAGAAATATTGGGGTGCTTTGGATATATATTACTTGTAAATGATTACATTAGATGGCGAAAATGTCAGTGATGAAAATAAAAAAATATTTTTTAGAAAATAATAGAATTGCATTTTATACCTGTAGCCATGGGGCTTCAACTAGACTAATTGAAAGCCCATGCTGTAGCTCTGTAGTTCTGTAGACAAAAGGCAACAGCATGTTTAAAGGGCAGACCGGACGGAGATCAATGAATAAGGGGGTAGAATTATTTGAAATCATAATTCTTTCCAACAGAGACATATGTGTTTTATATGTCTCTGTTTCCAATAATGCAATTATGCCTTAAAGTGCTTCATCCGGCATATAAATCTCCTTTTTACAAGCCGGGGAATACGGGGCATATGCAGAAGAAAGAACGGTCGCAACATCTGATTAATCATAATGGTGAATTTGGTCGGAATTTCTTGGTGGAAAAGTAACACTGAATTACTAAGCCCCACCCCCCCCCCCCCCCCAATCGACCCCCACAGACACGGGAACAAGAGTTCATCCCCTCCCCGCACTCACTGACAGTGACTGGGGCCGGGGGGGGGATTTAAATCTTCTTCCTGGGCCTGTGCGACCCCTTGTCAAAACCTGGTAGCGGACCTGTAATTGTAAGTTTAATGATCATGAGGTCAAGAAAGAATCTTCATTTTCACCGAATTATTCAGCTTACAGCCTAGAGTTAATATAAAAAAAATAGATAACCTCTTATGGTATTAGAATCCCGGGAGTATTCGTATATTTTACACTGAACGAAAATATTCCTGAAGAAGCTCTTCAAAATATGAATTGGAGGAAGAAAACTTAGAAGAAAAAATCGTTACAAATATCGCATTTTCTTTTTGCTTTATTACTCTCAAAGACAAAGTAGAATGCCGATTTTTAACAACGGTGGCAAAGCCACAAATGTCAAGAACACGAAAAAGTCACGGGTACGTACATTTACCCATTATTTTATGTGTAAGACGCTCATCTAGTAATCTTCGAATAAATTCGAAAAAAATCAATTTCTTGGTACAGTTGGGGACATAAATAAATGACAGGTGGATTTGCTGAAGTGAGGATTTCCCATGTTAAAAATAAGAGAATTTACAAGAGGCCATAGATCAGTGGATGAGATTATACAAAATGTAAAATATACAAATTTTAAGGGATATGTATCTAGACAGTATTGGAAATTATGGGCTTTCAGACCACCATAATTAGGAAATGGTGATCGAAAATCGACCTGTCATTTATTTTTGTCCCCAACTGTAGAGTCCATTTCACTGCTTCATTTCGTCAGTAGAACGGCAAAAATAAGAAATTGGGAGACCATTGTGCAATAATATATGGAAAAGTATATTCATAATGTACATGAATGACATTTGTATATTTCAGATTTTTTAGTTTTTGGTGCAATAAGCCTGTGCCGTCTTGTAATTTGAAGAATTTCAGCCATGTTAATCTTATTGAAAATAACATGGCAGAGAAACATCGAAATATAAGAGGCCACACGCTTTATAAGTCAAACTAGAAGCAATCCAAGATATACAAATGTCATTCATGTACATTATGAATATACTTTTCCATATATTATTGCACAATGGTCTCCCAATTTCTTATTTTTGCCGTTCTACTGACGAAATGAAGCAGTGAAAATGACTCTAGGTACTATTTTTTTCATGGCCTGAGTTCGTCGCTAACATGCTAAATTTAAGAGTTAAATGAAACCATATCACCTTTGTTCCGTCAACCATGGAGCATTTGCCACAACATCCAAGAGGTAAATCATTGACCGTGAAAATGAATGATTTCCTTGTAAGTTCCGGAAGTTTCAATACGAAAAATTACCGAACATATGTGAAAACCGAATATTTGTTCGTTGTTTTCACAATTTACAGGTTCGTTTGTTCTCCAATGTTTTGGTCTAAATTATAAAGCATCACCAACAGGTCTTACTCTATTAATCGACTAATACAGCAGACGGCTCATATTTGTACATAGCATTTCGTTCAGACCAACAGTGGGAGTCCAGATCACGCAGTTTCGTTTGTTGCGTACTTCACTTGAAATTGGTAATTTTAAATATTGGCTACTTCACTTAGCTTGGCGGATGTAGAACATTGCTTAATATTATTTCAATTTTCACACCAGACATGCTTGGTTGACACGTCAACAAAGTAAAGTTCAAGGGTCAATGCGTTATTTCGTGATAACTACAACGCCTTCCCGGAAGTCAACATTGATGAAAAATGAAAAAGTCGGAAAAGCATTTACACTAATTTCTATCAAATGCTGTGTTTATGCATCATCATCGATGCAACAAAGGAGACCCTATCTGTTGCAAGACTAACGCCTGGCGTAACCGTCACCATGTTATTCAGTGTTTTTTAAGTAGCGCAAGGATCCTGCCATGACCGTGGTAATGTTATCGTGAAAGCCTGGTATAACCGCAACAATGCTGTATTATATTGCAATGCCTGCCATGACCGTGACAATGTAATATAGTTCTGCAAGGCTTGGTATGACCGTAACAATGTAATATAGTACTGCAAGGCCTGGCATGACCGTGACAATGTAATATAGTATTGCAAGTTCAGGTATGAGAGTGGTAATGTAGAAATTAAATTTACGATTAGGACTGCTATAACCATGACAATGTGTATTGCAAAGCCTGGCATGACCATGGCAATGTAATATAGTATTGCAAGGCTTGGTATGACCGCCATGGCAATGTGATATAGTATTCCAAGTTCGGGTATGAGAGTGGTAATGTAGAAATTTATGATTGCTATAATTGACCGTGACAATGTGTATTTGAAAACCTGGCATGACCATGACAATGTATTATGGTATCGCAAAGCCTGGTATGACTGTGACAATGTAATATAGTATTGCAAGGCCAGGTATGAGGGTGGTAATGTAGAGATTTAGGCTTAGTTCTACTATGACCGTTATAATGTATTGCAATGACTAGTAAATATGTATGACATTAATGCCAGGAATATCCTTAACAATTTTAAGTGATCCTCATTACAATTAAACAGTTAATACTATGATCATGGTGTTTAACTACCTTAATCATGTCAAAATCAAAATTACTACTATACATTAATATTCACATTCGCTTATAAACCACAATAAAGGCTACGGTCGCGCCTGGCTTCCAAGATAACACTTCCAGGGTCATGACAGGCCTTGTAATAGAATACAGCATTGTCACGGTTATACCAGCCTGTCACGGTTATACCAGGCTTACACGATAACACTACCACGGCCATGGCAGGATCCTTGCGCTACTTAAAAAACACTGATTAACATGGTGACGGTTGTGGCAGGCGTAAGTCTTGCAATAGATAGCATGTGCAACAAAGGTGATATGGTTTCATTAAGATTCGGGTTCTAACCATTAGAAGGTAAGTCAGACTCCCAAACGTCAGCTAACTCTTATATTTAGCATGTTAGCGACGAACTCAGGCCATGAAAAAAATAGTAGGCCCACAGGAAGTTGTATCAAGACCTTTTTCGGCCTCTACGAAGCCTTTTGCCCTTCCCCAATCTCGTAACAGATGATGATGATTCCCTATAATAGGGAAATCATCTGTTACGAGATTGGGGAAGGGCAAAAGGCTTCGTAGAGGCCGAAAAAGGTCTTGATACAACTTCCTGTGGGTAGGTCTAGGCCTACTCGTACTGGTAGACTATATCCTAGAGGTACATGTAATGTACTTTCAGTCTACAATAATAACAGAATACTGCTATATCTTTGAAACTCCCGGGGGCGGGGGTACTGGTCAATTTTTTGTAAAGAGGGGTCATGGGCGTCAGAAAGGAGGGTGCATTCTGTGACTGCCCAAAAAAATATTATAAGATTCCTAGGTGAAACTTCAAAAAATACTATTCTGTATCAGAAAACAACTATTTATGGTCCTTAAAAACGCTCAGATTGCACCCAATAAAGTCTTCAATGACAAAAAATTTCACGGGGACCGGGAGTATGCCCCCGGACCCCCAGGTGCGCGGCCATCTTCCACACCATGACTTGGCTAGCCATCTATATATTTTCTGGGAAGGTACCCATAAACAAGCACTGGTTGATAATAGGTGATGGTAATGATTTCAAGATATTGTGCTCTGAAATTGCTCAGAATGCATCAATGATGTTCAATTTTCGAAATTTGTTACGTCGTATCAATTTTAATCTGATAAATCATATAAATGATTTAGTTCTAATCGAAAAGAAATATTTATAGTCCTTGAAAAGATTGCACCAAATAATGTCTTTGAAAAAAATTTCGCCCGGACACCCAAAATGTGAATTTCAGCCGTTAAAAACCATTGCGTAACTATTAAAAATCATTGCGTAACCATTGCTGCAACCATTTGAAATGGTTTCCAACCATTACATTTCAACCATTAAAATTTGGTTGAAAATTTTGGTTGCATATCATTGAAATTATGGAATCATTTGCAACCATTACAAACCATTGATTGTTTAAGTTGCATTTTACCAAATGGTTGCAACTATTTTCAACCATATTATGGAAAGTATTTAGTTTAAGAATGAGACAGTTAAAACCATGAAGAACATACAGATGAATTGAATGCATGATTATGTTTCAAAATACAGCAGTTCATGTTTAATGGCATATTATTTCTAATTAATTGAAGAGAATAAGGTTTATTCATTTTAGGCACTAGGAATGACTTCAAGTCATTTTCATAGGCATATTATTTCTATAAAGAACAAGGTTTATTCATTTTTGGTACTGAATATTGCTTCAAGGCCATGTTCATAGAGATATTATTTCTATTTTATTGATGAGAATCAAGCGTATTCATTTTGGCATGGTCATTCTTGTAATTTATTTGGAAACTCTTTCTTGATTCATTCATTTATACTGAACAATACAACAAAACTATCTGTGGACTTTTTTTTTCTCCTGTCTCAACAAAAAATGTTTCTGACTAAAAATACACACATATTATGAAACATCAAAGATTGTATTTCCTGCATATTGTTTATGATTTGGATTAAGCTAGTGCCAAAATAACTGCTTCTCCAATATCAAAGAAGTCTTATGACAACAATTAAAGATGAATACACCTCATCACCTCTACAATCAAATGAAATTAATCAAATAGAAATAATTTGGGTATGGATATCTATTGTATAGAATATGGATATGTCTCAAAATTGTATTATGAACTTCTAAATTAAGTATTTCTTTAAAAATCTTAATGTGAATCTCATCTTATTTACTATGATTGTGTCGTTATTATAGGAGGGGGAATTCAAAAATAAATTATTCAGACAAAAATAATTCTTAAGAAGACATAATTTGTAATGATTTTATTATACTATCAAAACAGAACTTTATCTGATTGGCTGTTCAAGGGTTATAATTAGCATTTCAATGGTTATAATTAGGTTTTCAATGGTTATAATTAGCATTTCAACCGTTGCCGCTCTGTCTGTGTAACTGTTGCTGCTCGGTCTTGGTACCTTATCTGAATTCAATAATGAAAAATCTTAACTTGTATTTTTACAATTTTCTAAATGAAAATAAGCCTGCAAAATTAAACAAAATTGAATTGAAACAAAAAAGAATATTTATTTTCTTATAAGATTCCATCATTATTCATTCTCCTTAAAAACGAATACCCAATAAGTGATTTGGCCAAATAAATGTGTTTCAGATCCTATAGGGATTAGCTTATATGGTATATACAAATAAGTGAATGTTTTTTTGTTGTTCTGGAAGTGACACCAGACTTATTATTGGGAACAAGATCCGAGACACACAAAGTCCAAAAATAAATTCTTTAATGAGAGAATAGTGTGATAGACTGCAGACTTCAGACATATACTAACTTATAAACATACTAATAATATCATAATAACAGATTAGACTTCCTAATAATTATGTACTTACATGTAGTTAGAAAC